AAGGACAAAGGATTTAAATAGACATTTCTTCAAAGAGGTTACACTAATGGCCAATAAGCACTGAAAAGATACTTAACATCACAGACCACCAGGGAACTGCAAATAAAAACCACAATGAGATATCACTCCACACCCGCTAGGATGCTGTAATAAAGAAGACAGACAGTAACAAGAAAGGACATGGAGAAATTGGAACTTTCATTCACTGCTGGTGGGAAGGTAAACTGGTGCAGCTGCCTCGGACACCAGTCGGGCAGTTTCTCGACATGTTACACACAGACTTACCATATGACCCAGAAATTCTACTCCTCGGTGGAATTCACACACCCAAGCGAAATGAAAACATACATCCGTGCAAAAACTTGTGCACCAACATTCATCACAGGATTATCCACAATAGCCAAAAAGTAGAACCAGTTTAAATGTCCATCAGATTATGAATGAATGAATAAAACATGGTATATTGACTAAATAAAACATTATTTGTCACAAAAAGGAAATGAAGTCTTGATACATGCTCCCACATGGATGAACCATGAGAATACCATGCTAAGTGATGGAAGTCAGTCACAAAACCCCCGCCTATTCCATGATTCCAATTATATACGACATTCAGGTCAGGCACGTCTATGGATTCAGGAAGTAGGACAGAGGTTGCCCAGGGCGAGAGGGGTCAGGCAAAAATAAGAAGCAACAGTTAATGGCATAGGGTTTCTATTTGTGGTGGTGAATAACATCCTAGAGTTACGTTGTGGTGATACTTACATAGCTCTGTGACTATATCGAAAAGCACCGAACTCTATATTAAATGGGTAGACTGCATGGTGTGTGATTCTATCTCAACAAAGCTCTAGAAGGAAGGAGTTGGGCAACATAAACATGTGTTCAGATTGTTATGACTGGGGAGGTGGGATAAGTGAGTAACACGGAACCCGATTGGCTAACACACGAACAGTCAGGGGTCAGGTAACCAACCCCAGAGCAGAGCAAGAGCAAAGGGCCTGAGGCAGGAAAAGACCACAACAGGAAAGGAACTAAGGGAGCGACGGTGTGGTGGGAGCAGCACGCAGGAAAGAGGGACGACACAAGGTAAATTCAGACAGGTGGGAGGGTGTTCACGGCTTCATACTTCCCCTGAGTAACAGTTGGGAGACACTGAAGGGTTTTAACCTGGGAGTGCAGTGATTGGTCCTGAATTTTTAAAAGCATGCTCAGACTGCAGGAAACCGAGGTGAGGGATTTGGATGGATATAGGAAAATCAGAGTGGGAGCCAGTGTAAAATTCAGCAAGAGAGACGAGGTCTGAGAAATCGAGGTAAAGTAATTTTAGGAGAAAGTGGAAGGTAAAGATGTCGGACAGTTAGCTTCTGATGGAGTTTTGCTGTAAAGGGAGGAGAGAGATGGAGTCGTAGCAGGAAGGGAATTTGAGAAGGAGGAAGTTTAAAAGGTAAGCATGTTTAAGTGGGAATTAGAAGACCCCAGAGGGGAGAGAGAGAGGTTTGGTGTTCAGAACTCAGAGGAGACAACTTATTCAATCAAGCCCTTGCGAAGGTGGAAGGTCATTGGATCCCGGACATCCTCAGAGGGATATGCCCTCTGGCATAACAGGAGGAAGGTGGGAGATGATTACAGATGACAGTGGGTTTGGAGGTTTGGAGGTTTGGAGGTAGAACTTACTCATTCTCCTGCCTACAGTTCTGCAAAGCAACCCATGAGCCAGGAGAGAGGGGATACGCTTTAACAACGGGATGCAGAGAGCAGTGATTAATGAGGAAGACGGGAGCTCTCTTAGGAGGATGCCAGGCGTGACTGAGAGAGCGAAACACACATGACCACACAACTTCTATTCCACTTCCTTCTGACATAATCATAAGAACAGGAAGTGTGGGGAAATTAGTTCAGAGGGAAGTGAGACCCTGTAGAGGAGAAAGAATAATGAGAGTCCAGTTATTTCAGAAGTTCAAACTGCAGGTCCTAGGTGCAAGGTTAGCTTAAAGATACAATGGAAGCATCATGCCTGATATTAGAAACCATGCAGATTGAAAAAGGAGTCAGGCAGATTGGAAATGATCAAATGCTCTATTTTTAAAAAGAAATAAAAGGGGAATTCAAGAAAATACAGGTAAATCTAATGAACTAGAATCTCTGCAATGTGTGTTGACTTGTATTCACCAGGAGACACTGCATGTTCATCAGGGAATGTTTATGCTAAAATATTATTTCATTACGAAGACCATGTCTGTGTCTTGATTTCAAGGTACATGACTGGGAGATAAATAAATGCTTTTTATGAAAATAATAGGGCCCCTGAATGTGTTGATCACAGGACTGCACAGCAGACTGTGTACTCCAAAGGGCACTGGCAGGTCCTGGATGAGAACCACCAGCAGTAAGCAAAGGGAGGCTCTGGATTAGGCAGCACAGCTATTCTCGAGTGTTTGAAGGTCTGGCACGTCCGATGTTTTTCCTGGTCCAGAGAGTAGAGCTAGAAACATGGATAAAAGTTCCAGGGACGTAGATTGCTGCCTCTAGATAAAGAATACCTAACATCTGAAGGTGTCCAGCAGTGGAGACACAAAACATTGAGCTCCCCAGTCCGGGAAGATTCTAGCAGACTCTGCAGGGGCTCCTGCTACACAGGGTGGGGTGTGGACTATGCACTTGTAAGGTCTGTTCCCTGAAAAGTAAACGTGTAGAACAAATGTTACGTGGGCATGACTTCTTCAGCACACTCATGCTAGAGGCACAGATGCTGGTGCCTCCAGATGTCTGTGATGCGTCCAAAGCTACATACTGAGGCAATGGTAGATCCGGCTGGACCCAACTTCCATTTCCCCAAGGTCTGGTCACTTCTGTGGCTCACACATTACCATTTCTGTGATAAGTGATGCCTTTCCTCCTCAGAATTTCTGTTCAGAATTCTACGCCATATTTTACACCATACACAAAAGTCAACTCAAAATAGATTAAAGACTTGAACATAAGTGCTTAAGCCATAAAACTCCTAGAAGAAAATACAGGGGTAATTTCCTTGACATGGGTCTTGACAGTGAGTTGTTGGATTTGACACCAAAAGCAAAAACAGCCAAAGGAAAAGTAAACACATGAGTCTACATCAAACTGAGAAGCTTCTGCACGGGCAAAGGAAATCAACAAAAATGAAAATGCAACCCAACGAATGGGAGAAAATATTTGAAAATCATGTATCTGATAAGGGGTTAATATTCCAAATATACAAAGTATTCATACAGCCCTGGCCGGTTTGGCTCAGCGGTTGGAGCGTCGGCCTGTGGTCCTGAGAGACCCGGGTTCGGTTCCCACTAAGGGCGCGTACCTCGGTTGCAGTTTGTCCCCGGCCCTGGTTGGTTGTGCGGGTGGCAGCCACTCGATGTGTCCCTTCACATTGATGTTTCTCTCTCTCTCTCTTCCTCTCTCTCCTTCCTGCTCTATCTGAACAAAAAATGGAAAAATGTCCTCGGGTGAGGATAAAAAAAAAAACAAAAACACAAAGTATTCATACAACTCAGTAGGAAAAAACAAACAACTGATTTAAAAATGGGAAGAAAATCTGAATATTTTTCCAAAGAAGACATACAAATGGCCAACAGGTCCAGGGAAAGGTGCTCAACTCCACCACTCACCAGGAAAATGCAAGTCAAAACCACAGGAAGATATCCTCACACCAGCTGGAATGGTTATTGTTACAAAGACAAGAAATAACAAGTGTTGGCGAGGATGTGGAGAGAAGGGACCCCTTGTGCACTGTTGGTGGGCATGTAAATCGGTGCAGCCGCTGTGGAAAACAGTATGGAGGTGTCTCAAAAAAAATTAAAACTAGAACTACCACACGATTCAGCAATTTTACTTCTGGATATTTATCTGAAGAAAACAAAAACGATCATTCGAGAAGTTATCTGCACCCCCACGTTCACTGAAGCATTGTTTACAATAGCCAAGATATGGGAACTAAGTAAGTGTCTGTCAGTGGATGAACATGAAAAAAAATGTAGTGTAGCTTTGGCTGGTTTGGCTCAGCAGGCTGGAGTGCTGGCCCATGGACCAAAGACGCTCAGGTTCTATTCTGGTCAAGGGCACGTACCTCAGTTGCAGTCCAGTCCCTGGCCCTGCTCAGGGTCATGCAGGACGCAACCAATTGATGTGTCTTTCTCACATCGATGTTTTTCTCTCTCTCTCCCTCCCTCACCCTGTCTGAAGATAAATGGAAAACATGCTTGGGTGAGGATAAAAAGAAAATGTGGTGTATATCACAATGGAATATTATTCAGTCGTAACAAAGAAGGCTGTCCTACCATTTTCAACAACCGGGACGGACTTGAGGGCACTGTGCTGAGTAAAATAAGTCAGACCGAGAAAGACAAATACCATGTGATTTCAATTACATGTGGAATATAAAAACACACACACACACACAAAACCGCCAAACAAAAGAAAACTGAACTCAGAGATACAGAGAACAGATTGGTCGTTTCCAGAGGCGGGGGTTGGTGGTGGGCAAAATGGGTGAATGTGGCCAAAAGGTAAAAACTTCCAATTCTGAAACAAGTCCTGGGGATGTACAGCGTGGCGACTATAGTTAACTACTTTATTGTATACTTGCAAGTTGCTAAGAGAGTAAATCATAAAAGTTCTCATCATAAGAAAAACAACGTGTAGCTGTGTGGTGACAGATGTTGACTAACTTCCTGTGGTGATCACTTCACAACATAAACATATGTCGAATCATTGTTACATACCTAAAACTAACATAATGTTAAATATCAATTATGCCTCTATAAAAATAAATTCCTTTTAAAAACCGAATTCTAAATTCCTCACCCATGACTTTCAGGGCACGCTCTTGTCATGAACCCCAGCCCCCCCCCCACACACACACACCAATAAGGGCTCTGCAACCTCTTGGGAGTCTGCTCCCGGGGGAGAATCCTGTGTGCAGGTGAAGAGGGACTGTGCCCCCAGGAAGAACCGACCCTCAAGTTGCCATGTCTTACCTTGACTCTGGGGTCTACTCCTTGCTTCAGTTGTACATGACCAGGTTCATCCACTAAGAAATAAGCATGATCATTACAACCTGTCTTTAAACTTATTAGCTTAACACAGATGAAGGCAAACGGTACCCTCCTTTCTAGAAAGATCTTTCTAATCTCATCAACCTTTTCCAGCTAATTCCAACCCAAGCAGGAGGTCCCAGCCCCCTGTCCCAGCGTGTCTTCTGCTACTCCCTGAACAGCCAGCCAGTGGGAGGGATAGCTGAGGTTGACCAGCTGGCTGGGCCAGGAGGCTCTTCCTAAAACTCAATGGGAGTACGTTTAACGTACAGTGAGCTCAGCAGGTGTTCTTCAGTTCCCACTTGGATTTATGACTCCCACATAATCCTCTGCTTTATTAAGCTATCGGAAAAAAAATAAAATCTGTCTGCCAAGATCCTAAAGCAGCGTGGCAGCCAGCAATATATAAAGGCAGTAATTGGAGGAGGGGGGCCGGCGGCTTGGCTGGCCTTGGACGGACTGCCAAGATGCTCCGGTGGAAATGCCCCCTGGGACCAGGGAGAAGAGGAGGACTGGGCTCTGCCCGTCTCCTGTCTCCGGGAGGGCAAGGCAGCTCACCTCCACTTGCGTCAGGTAGAGTCCTTGTCCATCCTTGGAGAGGTTCTGGAAAGTCTCTAAGTAAAGAGGTGGAGGGGATCAGGACAGGTAGACATGAAAGCAACTGCGGTGATTCTGTGTGAGCACTCTGTCTCTCCACAGGGGGTGCTCGCTGGGCCTCCTGGTCTTTTTCCAGCCAAACTCTGTACCCAGGGACCACTTGGGGTTCAAGTCCTCAAACCAGCGCTCTGACTGCCCCCAACCCCACCTCTCTCCCGCTGTCTCCCTGCACCTCCACTTGGCCCTCGCAGATGTGAGCTTGTCTCAGGAAGTATTTCAAGGGCATAGTTTGGGGAACCTCCCTCTTCCAAAGGAGAACTTTCTGGATCAAGATTTATGCCCCAGGCTTCCCACTGACGCCCCAGGGCTCTGTTCTGCTACGTGAATCGCCTAGCTCAGAAGAGAGTTCTTCCCATGGACCCCCCAGGACTCTTCTGCTACGTGAATGGCCTAGCTCCGAGCTCAGAGCAGAGTTCTTCCCACTGACCCCCAGGACTCTGTTCTGCTACGTGAATCGCCTAGCTCAGAGCGGAGTTCTTCCCATGGACCCCCCAGGACTCTTCTGCTACGTGAATGGCCTAGCTCGGAGTGGAGTTCTTCCCATGGACCCCCAGGACTCTTCTGCTACGTGAATCGCCTAGCTCAGAGCGGAGTTCTTCCCACTGACCCCCAGGACTCTGTTCTGCTACGTGAATCGCCTAGCTCAGAGCGGAGTTCGAAGAGATGCGCAAGGCAGGGGTGGTGGGAGGATCAGAGGGCAGCCACACTCCACCACCACAACCACAGCAGCTCCACTCTGAGCCTCCTTATAGCTCGGGGTTTCGTGTAACATTTCATTCACAACGAAGGGGGATGCTGCTGCCAAACAGTGTCAACCCCCTGGCCTGCGCAGCTGAGTTTCTGAAGCGGGGGAAGGCCCCTGCCCCTAGCTGTGCTGTCATGGGGCAATTCCTTCATTCAGGGCAAGACTGAAGAGTAGGGTTAAACCAGAAGCACAGTCCGCTGACCCTGGTGAATAAACAGGGTGGTGAGGAGGTGACAGCCCCAGGGTAGGGAATCCTGGGAAGAGAAGGGTGCAGAAGGGAGGCTGGGACACAAGCCAATGACACCCCTACACAGGCTAACATGGGCTCTGTCTCTTGGGGCAACAGCTCAGGCAGGACTCCAGCCCCCCACCCCACCCCCCCAGGCTGTGGCAGGAGTGCATCCCTGGTCCTCTCCTGAGTTCCTGGTTGCTGCGAGCTCTCCAGGATGTCCCCACGGTGACACTTACTTGCCATGGCTTCCAGCCGCATCAGGAAGCAGACCAGGCTGGGGAAGCTGACTCTGCCGGCGCTGTCGCCGTATCTGAGGACCATGAGATCCAGCAGCTCACCACTGACGGAGATCCCTGCGAGGAAGTCTGGGCCACCGGCGAGCAGTGAGCGGGGAGGGGCCGGAAGTGGGGCGGCCCGCTGCCTTGCAAGGGCTAAGACACCCTTCAGAGGGCCCGGTGACCTCGGGGCCCTCCACCACCACTCCCTACTCAGCCTGGCTCAGTGGCCAGTGTCCTCCTCCTCTTTCGTGTTTTTATGATTCTCTAGTTGCCTCTTTCTTGGTGTCTGGCCAGAGGCCAACTCAAGGTTCTCAAGACCCTGACTGCTCTGGGGACGCCTCGGCCTTCATAATCACCTGATAATGCCGTGTGAGATGGGAGGTGCCTGGACACCTGAGGTTTGCGCCCAACCCTGCTGCGGTCAGACCTGTCTCTACCGGTGGCCTTGGGAACCACCTCCCCCGACTCCGTGACCACATGGAGGTCTTACATGTGGTGCCGCTAATGTGCGTCACTGGTTCCTGGAAGGGGGGGTTCAGTCCCAAATCGGTCACCCAGAGAACAGGCTGGTCCTCAGAGGGAGCCCACCACTCAGGAGGTGCCTCGGGCAGGCAGGACAGAGGTGCCTTGCCCACTGTGGGTCTTGTCATCTCGTGTGTCTAGCTATGAGCCCCAGGGAGGTACCAACCACAAGGTTGACCTTCGAGCTCTAGAGAGCAAGCGGAAACTTCTGAGCCAGCCCACCCGTCTACCAAGGGGACCAGCCCAGTTGTCTGAGGGCCCCACACAGCCAGAGGCTGTTTCTCCAGCAGTTAATAAAATGTGGACTTGGAAGCCTTTAAACAGGGCATGCGCTCTCCAGCTTGCCACGCTCGGCCCCTGAAGGCTTTTGAATTGAATTCCAACTATTCTCTTTCTTTCTTCCTTTTATTATTCTGGAGTCACTAGTGAGGTCCCTTCAGGATTTCATCTGTCACTGGCTCTTCAGAGGTTCTCAGAGTCACCCCCAGACCAGGAGCTTGGCCTCACCTGGGGGCTGCTTAGAAAAGCACATTCCTGAGCCCACCCGGCCTTCCCGAACCAGAAACGTCGCAGGGGGTGGGGGGGGCGGTGAGCCCTTACAGTCCGTCTCAGCGAGCTCTTACACTTGGTGCGGAACCAGCCGGAGAACCCCGCTCTGGGCTAGGAAGAACGGAGGGGAGGCTAGATCTAAGGTGGGCAGGGGCAGCCCGTTTCTACCCTCTCTCCAGGCCAGGAGCCACGGGAAGGAACTATGAAGACTGTGGGACCTGGGGGAATTGATTTCACATTTTATTAAGGAAGCTGCAATTTCCTGACTTAACCTTTTTGCGATCCATTTCCCCCACTGGTGCAGCGGAGGTAGTGACTCCCGCCCTTCCCAGGTCCAGAGCAGTAGAAACAGCCGATGAGAGGAGATGATGGGGGTACAGGTCCTGCGGGACCCCGATGCACTCCTGCACCCTACGGCACCACTGCTATTGGCCGGGGATGGGCGGCTCCTGCGCCCCTTACAGCAGAGACACCGCCGATTTCCCTGAGCCCCAAGCCCTCTGTGAGGACAGCGTCAGCCTGCCTGTGGGTATTAACCCTGATGGCCTGGGTGCTGGGATGGAAGCGTCTCCAAGGGGAGGGTTTCAGTCACGTGGGGTTACTGTCTCACTAGGGCTGTGATGGGGAGAAGGGCAATCGGCCATGAGAACTCAGGAAGATGGAGTCTGAGCCCCAGCCGGAGGCCCGCAGAGGCGGGTGTAGGTCGGGGGAGGACACAGAGCCGCAGCTCGGATCTGTCCCAGCTGCCCTGGCTGTGGCACCGGCTTGCCTACAGCACGCGAGGGCTAACACACACATCACCGCCACCCTCCCTGTCGAGGCTGACAGCGTCCCTGCGTTACCTGCATCCTTTACGGCCTTCCCCAGATCCGAGCTCAGGAAAACGCCAGACTTCTGAGTGTTCTGGAAAACCCTCTGACGTGGGAAAAAGCAAGAAGCCCTGGTGAGGCCCAGGGCCCACCTTGAGGCGGATGTCCTGGGTGGAGGGAGGTCCCGGAAATCCCTTTCCATCCCTGGAGGCCGCTTCGCTGAGACTCCAGGGGCTCAGCTCAGAGGCAGGCAGGGCAGGGCAGCTCCTTTCTTTCGCACCCTGAACCCTCGCGCCGCAGCAGGCCCCGGTAACATCTGCTAAATGGTGGAACGCGCGGGCCCGGCCAAGGAAACGCGCTGGTACCTGGCAGTGGACGAGCCGTCTCCACAGCCTTGAGAACTCCTCTGGGTCGAGCTGCCCATTGACTTTCAGCTGCAGGGAGTTAAGGGTTAACCGTCCAGCGTGCAGTAAGCAGAGGGCCGGCCCCACCAGCAAGCCCTCTGTCCATCAGCTGGTGACACGGTCAGCCCAGCACCACCCGATGGGGACGGGGCCTCACGCCAGCTGGCTCCCGCTGCCGCCGAAAGGGACCTGGCTTAGATTTATTTTACAAGGGAAAATGGAGACTTGGAAGAAGAAAGCCCTGAGCAGAGGGGTGGGCAGCATCTCTTGCATCCGGGGGAAGAGAGCGAGCCCACAACACAGCGTTCGCCAGCCGGAGTGGGGGAGCGCGAGGTCCGAGCCGTGCGCCCGCCAGGTGCCCCGCGGAAGGAGCGCTTGCCGCGGGCTGAGCCAGCCCCAGTCAATCCGGAGCCTGATGCTCCACGAGCACTGATGAGGAGGATGGGTCTCCGAGAGCCTGGCGTGTGAGCAGGAGGAAGGCAGAAAAGACCGTCTGCTTTGCAGCGGGTGTTTCTCCCCTGGGGTCACCTGCCCCAGCCTGTGGGGCTGTGGTGGCCATTCTGATTCATCTGTGGGGATGGGTCGTGTCTCTGGGTGGTTCCAGACCACGACTGGCAGAGATGGGGTCTGATCCAGGATTTCATCAAGAAGCCTTCTGATCAGGCAACGACCATCTTGTTAAGAGTGAGGGAGCTGGTCCGCCGTCCCCCGGAGAGAGCCCACACTGGGGGAACAGCTACAGGCAGCTGGGGCCACGCACACAGGAAGCCGTCTTTCCTGTGTGCCAGGGACGGGGCCACACGGCTCAGCGGAGAGAGGCCAGGGCGGGAGTCAGGAGGCCTGTGCTTGACTCCCAGCTCCGCCCCTGTGGCTGTGGAAATCAGACGAGACTGGACGGCCCAACCCTTGTCCCCCCATCTGCACACCGGGCGGACTGCTGTGCAGACTGGGGGTTCCCCACAAGTTTCAGTAGTTGTTATCTTTGCTGCAGCTTGCTGAGTAAGATATTTCAATAGTGAAGTGTCCCCCGTGACCAGGGAAGGAGTGGAATAGTTCCTATCGGTGCTACAAGGAGACAGAAATCCAGGCACAAATTATGACTAGCTGTGTGATCTGGGCAAATTACTTAGCCTCTCTGAGCTCCTGCTTTCATGGTATGATAGTAAGTCATCACAGGGGTTGTTACACGAATTACAAGGAAAAAAAGCAGATGTACCAGTATAGTTCTAGGCACCGAGTAGTTGCTTGACAGATGGTAACTGTGGTTATTCTGGAGAGTTAGGGAGTTAGTCTAGAATCCCCAGAAACCCAGCCCTTTGGCGAGCTCTTAGAACCAAGATGAGAAAATACTGAGAAAAAGGTTCTCCAGCACCCGAATTAGACTCCCGGGGAAGCCTGCAGAGCAGCGGGGAAGGGCTGGGAGAAGACTGCAAAGGATACATCCATCAGCGCCACGACGCTCCGGCACTCGTCCAACGAGAACGTGTCCCCTGGAGGTCCTGAGATGGGGCAGAACAGGAGGGGCTGCAATGTCAGGGCGGGTGACGGCGGACTGGCTGGGCGGTGGGGATGGCTCTGGGAACAGCAGGTCCTTACCTTTCAGGAATTCCTGGTTGAGAAGTCTCTGAAGCTGGGTGGCATCAATGCCTCGTCCCTGGTCCAAACAAGGGCGGAATGCAGGGGTTATTCAGTGCCCAGGAGCTGAGGCCCAGCGCCCAGCGCTGTGAAACACAGATTTCCCATCCCAGGTCCCACCGAGTGCCCACCTCACCTTCGTCACGAAGCCCTTCCGGCTGGCTCCGGGCCGCAGTGATAGCTCCCTCCCCTGAACATCAGTGGTGCTGACTACTCCTGACCTTTGATACCTTGTGTGAGTACCTTGCTTTTCTCTCTTTACCCGTTATCGGACGGAAAGCCGTGTTTGCTTCCTCCCCACCACGCTTTGCACTTGGGAGCCCCTCGGGAGTGTGCTGAATGAATCAATTGGGCCCTGTAGGTGTGTTTCCCCATCTGCTTCCAGAAAAAGACTAAGAAAATATGGTGTGTGTGTGTGTGTGTGTGTGTGTGCAGTGAGAGGGGATTAATGCTGGAAATCTAGGCTAAGAGAAGGGCTCTGAGCATCAGTCTCCCCAGACACTGGAGCAGAAAGGGGACGTGATCGAGGGTAAGGGGAGAGAAACATTTTCGGGTCTAAACTTATGGAGGCGTTAACTGAATTCCATTGTCTGCTGGGAACACTGAGCGGCTTTATGGGCGGTGTCTTCCATGATGCTTTTACAGGCAAGGGCTGTTCAAATGCAGCTGTTTCTTATAGCAGCCTGGTCAACGCCAAGGGGACGACGTGACCTCAGCACCCTGGAAAAGTGTCTACACGGGGAAGGACTTGGAGTGAGGTTTCCCAGCAGGTGGCTTTGCAGAGCCCCGCTAGGTCAGGGGTAAGAGGGTGCCTTCCTGGACAAGCATCCCGTGGATGACAAACATGCTGTCCCCAGGCTTGGCCTCATCATAGAAACAAAGTAAAGAACAATCCTGTAGCCTGTCCTTATGGGAGTACTTTAGCCAGAAGGATGACCCCTCATGATGCCCCAGAGGAACACATTCTGCCAGAGCCTGCACGTGGCCCTCGGTCATCCATTCCATGTCTCCTGCGTCGGTTACGTCAGGGAAGTCTGTGTGGCATGCCCACCACCAACTGCACGTTTTCCTCAGCTGAATTGTGGCAGCTTGCTTGGCAGAGCAGTTGGCATGTCGACCAGGAACTCGAACAACAAGGAGACGAGCAGCTTCGGGCATTCATCGTATCTCTTTCCTTCTGCGTGTCTCCCAGCCCCCCAGCACAGCCTCTGACCTGGACCGGGACCCAGTAACCACCAGAAGGTTTGAGATGAGGATAGAAATGGAGATGAAATTTGCCTCATAAAATTCCCAAAGAGTTGGATTCTGTGTCTACACCTCAACGTTAGATTCCCAGGACTGACACTGTTTTCCCAAAGCTTAGCATGGTCCTTGGACAGTCCTAGGTATTTGGGACAGGTTTACCAGCTGAATCAATGATAGATAGGTGGACCTGGCCTGTCCCAGAGGCGAACTGCGTCCTTGATTGCCACAGGCAGCCACAGGATTATGGCACCATCCCCACTACCGTGGCCGATGAAGGTGACTCGTGGCACTGGGAGCCTTCCTAGCAAGTCACTGTGTTCGTTTAGGCTAGACGGACACAAGAGATCAGGAGAGAGGACACAGTGAGCCCAAGAACAAATGTTTTGTTTTCAACTTCTCTTGGAGGGCACAACCTCTGAGTATAGCTGGCGGGTTTTGCAGAGTGAGGCCAAGTTGGTCTGCTCGAGGGTGCCCGCGTGAGGGATGAGAAGGGGCTGGAGTCCAGACTGGGTTCTACTTCCCGGCCGTTTGTCATAAAGATGCATCTGGCCCTCATGTGGGCTCCAGTTACCCTCCATGAGAGACATTTGGTTGTTTGGAAAAGTCCTGATTGCAGAATATGTACCATTTATCATCTCATAGATTATAATTTTTATTTCAGATTTGTAGGTGCATAGACCGTATCGAGGATTTGGCCACCTGCCCCTGAAGGAAGCTTGGTCTCAGGAATCCTAGTCAGGCCCTGCTGATCACCTTGGGGCAGTGACCGCGCTTGGGCATCTGCTCTGGGGAAGCTGATCTGTCTTAATTCAATGCAAATTGATAGAGCACCTTCTCTGTGCCAAGGGCAGTGCTAGGTCTTAGGAACGAGGAATACATACGATGTCATCCCTGCCTTCTGGAGCTCACAGGCTGGGACAGTCATTTTGCATCAGGTGAAGAGGCTTTGGAATTCACTCAGATGTGGACCTGAATCCTGGGCCCATATTCATTTCAGGGAGGTTCATACTGAGCTGCTCCTTGCAACGTGTACCCTGCATGCCAGCCACCTTCTCCATTTCTCCTTGTGTTTTCCTCTGAGCCCAGGAATTTTCCTCTGGGCTGCCTCCTGGTCACCACTGCCCCATGGGCTATCTGAGTGGCTGGCATCTTCCTGTCCTTGGCCTCTGCCTGGCCCGAAGCTGGCACCATGCACACACTCATCTGTATCGCTTTCCGCACCAACATGATTGCTAATGGTAAAACGCCCGTTGTGCTGAGCCCTTGGCAGCTGTTTTTATCCTGACGTGTCAAGGCGTTCTTTATAACGGTTTATAAAACCATTAAGGGAACCCCCTGTGCAGGAAGAGCGTGATTTCTGCAGCTGGCCAGCTCCCGGGGGGAATGACGCCAAGGCTGGTGGGAGCTGGCAGGCCAGGAGAAGGAACGATTTCAAGGGGTGTTGCCAACTGCTTGTTTACAGATTTAAAAAGCACTCCCCCCGCAATGAGCCCCTCCCTTTCCAAGCTCTACATTCATCCTGTGTGTCAGCCAGGTGGGACCTCACTTCTCTCCAAGGTTTGGTAGCCAGATCAGTTCTGGAGACGTCCAGAGAAGGAGGCTGATAAATAACCCATCAAGTCACTTTTCCTCTCAGCATCCTGCTAAAAGCCTGGGAGAGAGTCCCTCTCTCTGGTCCCCCCATCACCGGTCCCCATGCTAAGTACTGTACCTGCTGAGCGTATTTGTAGAAAATGCTTTGTTGGGAGTTGTTTTCTGGAAGACTTGCCTGGGTCAAAGAGAATATAGCCATTATCAAATGTCTGGGGAAGGAGGGCACCTGTCTGATTCAGTGCGGGCAAAAGACACCCCCCCCGCCCCGGGGTCTGAGACAGAGGCTTTATCCAGCAGCCAGGGAAAACCTTTAGGGGAGGGGAAAATGGAAGTCTGTGGAAAGAAGATGGTTGGGTCCAGCCTGGCCTTGGAGGCCTGGTCTTCTCCCTTCTGCCCTGCCCCTGTGAGCCATTATCGGCTCATTATGGTGTCTCTGCTTTCATTGGTCAGTGGTGAGACAAGGGGGAGGAGACAGAAGCTCCTAGGGATGGAAGGTGGCCAGTGAAACCCACCCACTGCCTTGCTGCCCACCTACCTTCAGGGCTCTGAGGTTGAAACTGCTGCCCGGGTTCCTAGGAAGTCAGGGGACAGTGTGAGAAGAATGACCAGCTCACTGTTCAAAGGAGACTTGCCTATGGGGGGCACCTTAGGGGGCATTTACGCCAAGGACTGGGTGCAGAGCCCTCGGCATAGAGCAGGATGGGAAGTGGGCAAGGTGACAGCCAGCAGACAGATGAGCATCATGACCCAGTGTTCAGTCTTTTGGGTCATCTGGTCCTTAACCATTTAGGAAGTGGTTCCTTTCACAAGGTGTAGTAACCCCATCGTCAGGATGGCAGAGAAGCTTCGTCCCACGTCGCAACTCTGATTGGGAGCACAGTGGCTGTCTGGCTTGCTGGACCGATAAGGCTTCATCCATGCTCAACTGTAAAGGCTGCCGTGACTACAGTGATGTGTGCCTCGGGTCCGAGAGGGGTGGGGGGCCCGGCAGCCTGTGTACTTGTTGATCCCAGTCTTGACCACTGACATGGCATTAAAGACCCTCCACAATGTGTTTTAATAAAATGAGGTAGGATTTTTACTTAGAATCCCAGAGGTTCTTACCCGTCAGGGTCTGACGTTCTCAGGAAGATTCGAAGCAAGAACTCCACCGCTTCTGTGCCTGCAGACACCACCACCACGTAGGTTCCCGGGCTCAGCGTGAAGCACTTTGTGAGATTGCACCTGGTTTTAGTCACTATGCCCTTGTCCGAATTTCTGAATCGGGAGAAAAAGGTGGATGGCAATCTCTCCCGGAAGTGCTGAAACTGGAGGAAACAGGACCGTGAGAACAGGCGGGTGTGTGCGTCCCAGCTGCGGGGAGAGACCCCGCCTCCAGGAGAGACCCCGCCTCCAGGAGAGACCCCGCCTCCAGGAGAGTCCCCGCCTCCAGGAGAGTCCCCGCCTCCAGGAGAGACCCCGCCTCCAGGAGAGACCCCGCCTCCAGGAGAGACCCCGCCTCCAGGAGAGTCCCCGCCTCCAGGAGAGACCCCGCCTCCAGGGGGAGACCCCGCCTCCAGGGGAGACCCTCCTCCAGGGGAGACCCCGCAGCCAGGAGAGACCCTCCACCTCCTGGACCCCTCCGTTTACCAGGAGAGACCCTGGAAAGGGAGCCGGTGCTAACCCTGACCCTAGGAGGCAGCAGGGTTTAGACTGTTATTTCACACAGATACTGACTCTGCAGTGAATGCAGAGAAATGTGACAGGCGGTTTTACCTCATTGAGTCTAACAGCATCCTGGGCTCTGGGTTTACCTCTCTGCTTATATGTAAAGACGAATCCCATGAAAACGAGTGAGGTCGTTTTAACACTGGATTAGTCTTGGAGCCCCCAAGGCCCCTTCTGTCCTGCACTTTTGCAAAGTGCTCTCGGGTCCTCTGGACTGCTACAGGCTGCAGGGTGGGGCCCCCTTGGCTCCCTCCATGTCATCTTTCCAGCGGAGCCCTGAAATCTTTTCTCATTGGAGAATAATAGGCCCTGATCATTTTCCTTTTATTTCAATATTTTCTTAGAGATAAAACAATAAATATAACGCAGTTCCTATTACTGGATGTCACATACAAATTACATAATAAAAACCCCTTACTAAATAAATTTTCCCCAATACAGCCGAGCATGGGCATTCTATTTAGAATGGTTATGCTGCATGAAATGATTATTTGTGAGCCCTGCCTTGGAGGGAAACGGAGAAGGGGAGATGTTTTTTCAAGGGGTGGGGACAGGGCTGGGCTACACGATGAGTTGGGAGATAGGCCCGTGTCCCAGGAATGCAGCAGGGTTCTGGGTGGAGTCTCCAAAGTGGTTCTGTTGACATTACAGCAGCCCCAGCGGGTTTGGAGCCTGACCTACTGGAGCCCTTCTGGCAAAAGTAACGATGAGATCAGTTCTCCAGAGTCAGCACTGCCGTGCGTGTATGTGCGCGCGCACATGTGTGTGCTTGCATGCACACACGTACACATGTGTGGGCATCATGCCCCATACAATGTAGAAGATAAGGTTTTTCCTGCATCCCTGCTCTCCTGCCCTCCTCCCTCCACTGGACCCTTGTCACCCTGCCCAGGCTCCTGCTCCTGCAGAACAGACTTGCTCAGTGGCAGTAAGATGAGTGCGTGTGAGGCATGACAGGGGCGCCTGGTCCAGCACTCAGCAGCCCCAGCATCAAATCAACACCGGACCTGACCCTGAGGTTCTAGGGATGGGGCTTGTGCCTCTTCCTGGACCAGTTCCCCACTCCATTCTCCAGTTCTGGGAACTAAACACTGACCTGTTCCTTGCACCTGAGTGCTTCCCTTGGAGCCTGTCCACAGGTCCCACTTTTGTGCCGGGGCACCAGGGATCACAGCCTTATCCTAAACCCAGCTCCAGGGCTGGGCCACTGCTGGGACAGACGCGTCCTTGCTGCTTGCTTTGTGCCCAGGGTTCTGAGCATTCCCCACTTGGAGACACCCTGTCTGGCTTCTGTTTACCTGTTGGGACACCCCTGGAAGGCCTGGAGGGGGTATTCCTGTACTTACCAGACTGCTCCAGTCACCACCTACTGGCTGTGGCTACCCGCTCCCTCCCTTCCATCCTCAGTTCCCGGGCACGTGCATGTCTCCCACTGGCAGCAACAGCACCGTAGAGCCCACAGCCATTTACAGGGTCTGAGTGCCCTTGAGCTAGGTTTTCCAAGCTCCATCTGTTCGTCTCCATCCTTACTCATATTTTAAGCCATCTTTCACTAATGAAAACCAGAATATCTACTTAGGACGTAATTTGGTACCTTGAAATTGCATTTACATAGTACACATTCTGCCCAGCCAGTGTGGCTCAGTGCATCAAGAGGGTGCTGGTTTGATTCCTGGTCAGGGCACATGCCCAGGTTGTGGGCCAAGTCCCCAGTGGAGAGCAATGCAGGAGGCAGCCAATCAATGTTCTCTCTCATCGATGTTTCTATCTCTCTTCCTCTCTCTCTCAAATCAATAAAGAAAAACAGTAAAAAACAAATATAACTGGCTATATCAGCCTCATCTATTAGAAGCCAAATGCTCGAGGGTGGTTTCATGGTTGCAGCCCTTCTTGAAGGTTAAACCAGAGAACAGCTCACAGGGTCCAACCTTTAGAACAGTGTAGCTAAAACATTTCCCTCATTATTGACCTGTTTGGAGTTCCCAAGCTTGTAGCTGTGATGGGATGTAGCAAGCCTGAATTTGCAGACACTGAACAGTGAGAGACATATTCAGGCCATGGGTGTTGACAGGAGCATAACACTTTACCGACAGCAAGAGAGGCGTGAGAAGCCCAGTGAGGGAGGTGGTGAGCCATACCTGAGGGTCGACCTGTGGGGAAGAAGAAGAAAGGCAGGTTCAAGAACCCAAACCAATACACAAGGGCAAGCAGATCCCAGCAGGCCGGCTCAGGGCTCTGCGTTCCTTCTGCAGCGTGGGCAGCCGGTTCCCTGGCACACCTGGGGATGAACAGGGACCACTGCACATTCCCTGTGTGGACTGTGAAAAGGAAACCAAACCATTGTAGGGAGCATGAGGGGAAGAACATGGAGGAGGGGAAGGTGCCTGAGAGGAGATTACTCATCACTGCAATGATGAAAATACTGGGAGGAAAAGCAAGATGTTGATAGGGACAGGAGGTAAGACAGAACCTGGATCAAATGTAAATTCTCCAGCATCGGAGCTCCAGTGAGATGTAAACTCCTTTTATCCCATCAGACCAGTGTAAAATGCGATGGGACTTTGTTCCAGGCTCCTGGGGTTCGTAGAGAACGGATGTGTGCATCTGAATGGGGAAATGCCTGCGTTCCAGTCTTTCCGCGTGGCAGAAGGAGACACCGAGCATGCAGACCATTTTTAAGCCTCTCCACAGTTTGCAGAGCATGTAATGTGGGAGGTTGTCAGAGTAACCTTGCAGACAGATGCTGGGCTCCTTATTTTATGGATGTGGAAACCAAACCTCAACAGTGTAAATAGCAGGGATCAGAATAGAGAAGTGGCTCTTTTGTCATTAAGACCCACCACCAGGCATAGGTTGGCACAGCTGGCATGGGTTTCAGTTCCTTTCCACTGCTGCTCCTGGGCCCACCTATGAGTATGGACCACTTGATTTGCCCAGGCCGACTTCTCTGAGACAGGGGTGAGCTGGAAGGGAGGTAGAAAGTGCCAGCCTGGGGAAGGAGCTTTGGGGTGAAGATGAAATGGCGTGTCCATCCTTGTCCGTTTCCTCTGTGTTCTTCCTGCCCACTTGTACCCACCCATGTGCAGGTTGATGCAAGCAGAGCAGTGCTTCCATAGCAGTTGGGGAGCCCCAGGTCCATGGCAGGGCCAGAGCACCATGTGTGGTGTCATCTGGGCAGCACTGTACCCACAAACACCATCAGAGCCTGGAGACTTCTGAGAGCCTGGTTTCTGGCACCAACATAGCCTGTGTTTCAGCCGAACTGTGAAAGGAACCCAACTGTCTCTTGAGTTGTCAAGGTCTGGACAGTTTCTTGGTGTTTAATCTCATCAAGATCCTATCTGAGAAGATCTGGGGTCTGAGTTGCCCCCTTAGCAAAGTGGGCAGCTACGAAATAATGCATCTCTGACTGAAAAATAGAGAAATGGGCTTGGCAGCCTTTAAAAAACGAATCTGATCACAATCTTGCGAAGGCTCCTGAACCACAAAGACTTTGGGCAAATCAGTCAACACAAGCTGCTGTGTCACCAGCTCTGGGGCGCCAGACTCACAGATGACATGGCACACAGCACCCCGGTCGCTGTGCACCGGGGCAGCCCTCACACGCTCTCTGAGCTTCTGCTTCTCATCAGGAAAAGGAAGAGTTGGCTGAGATATCTTTAGTAGTTCTGTCTGGCACCCTGAACTTGAATCCTGGCTGGGTAGACCAGATGCCTCAATTTCTTCCCAACCTGACTTGATTTCTTTTCTGTCTTTGGAGGTGAGAGTTGGGGATCTCTGAGGAGAAGGTCCTCTTAGAAGGCACCTGAATCAGTCAGGATTATTGGCTGACAGCAATGGAAACCAATCAGGGTGACGTGAGCAGAGGTTATCTGTGAGAAGGCTAGCTCACAGAGTCCGTAAGTCTAGAGAACGCAGCTTGGATGGTAGGCAGGACCCAGACGAGACAGCTCCGCAGCTGGGCCCCACCACCGGGCAGGCCCACACTGCTGCCGGGCCCAGCGATTTGCTGTGAATAATCTCTCAACTGCTCCCACCTCCTTTGGTTACTTTTTCAAGAGTCAAAGCCCAGAGTAACAGGGGAGAGGCGGGGGGAGGGGGGAGCACGAGGGGAGCATCTAGTTGGACAAGCCTGGGTTCCTATCTTCCCCTTTGCATCCAAAGGCTTCTCTGGGTGCTGCAGAGGGAGAGGGGTCCTGCCTTCCCCTTGAAGAGAGTTCAGGGGCCTCTGGTGATGGAAATGAAGACTGGCCACTGTCCGGCAGATGTTCTTTGATGGCCTCAGCAGGTTTAAGGCACCTCCAACTATTGCGCTAAACCCCAGTGACTTCTTTTCCATTGATTTCATGCAACTAGAAAGTGGAAACGTGCTCAGACAGGGCAGAACCCAAAGGGGTCTGGAGCCGGAATTACTGTTTTTCTTCAAGCTGTCCGCATCACCAGCAAGGCAAGTTCCTGAGTCCTGCCGAGAGCCCTGGACCGGGACCAGAGGTCCTGGCGTCAAGCAGACACGTGTCACCTCCTCGCTGCACATTGGGCAGGTCATCCTGCTCCCGGCTTTGGCTCCCACAGTTCTAAAGGTGGGGATACTAGGCTTTTTGAGACAATGAATGTGAACATGCCTGGGACTCTGAAGTGTTACCTCAGAGGACCCCTGATTAGAGTGAAATCCACCCCGCACACAGGGCTGTTCTGCCCTGAACGGAGTGCCCGGGGCCCTGCCGGTCCACACACAGGCCCAGACCATGGTTGTCAATGTCACCTCAGTCTCACCGAATAGAAACTGAGGTCATTCCTACAGATAATCAGAGCCCATCCAGAGAGGTGATGCGTGTGTCCGATGACTTGGGGAACATCTGGTACCCTGTCCTGGCTCTGCCATTAACTCTGACCATGTCACTGCACCCCACCGGGCCTCAGTGTCTTCGATTCTAATGCAAAGAGAGAGAATCCCAGCATTTGCTGGTTGCATGATCATCACTGTCCAAGTCATTGCAGAGGCTGTGGGGTGCAGGGCTTAAGAGCATTCACGTTCTCTTTGGGCTGCATTAAATTCTCTGGGGAAGAAGAGGGAGCAGAGGTATCAGATTTCCTTTTGTCACTCTTTTATTTTAAATGGTATTTAAAAAAAACAAATTCCCTGATTACCTACACACAGTTGGAATGCGTGCAAGCTTACAGGCAGGGAGGGCAGCCTCACCAGGAGCTGAAAGGCTGTTGGGAGTGAGGCTGGTGGAGGGGACACGGGCCTTGGAAGTGGCCAAGCAGGTGCGTGCAAGCCAGCCACTGAGCTATGACTGGACTTGGGTGAAAACATGAGCGAAAAACATACCTCCTGGCTTTATACCCAGGATTGTTTCTTTCCTGAAACTTCTCCCAAAGTTTAGCTAATGATTCTCAAGTTTTCATTCCACAAGCATCACCCAGGGAGCTCATTACAATGCAGATTCTCAGACTCTGTTGGCGGAGATTCTGACTCAGAAGGTTTGGGGCGGTCCCAGGAATCTGCAGTTAGGACAGCTGATCTCGGACCAGACCACCTTTTCCGCAACAGGCATTAGAGCCTGCAGCATACCAGGGAAGGCTGACGGGAGCAGGGCGTGTCCCCTTCTAGACTTGGTCTAGTCCAATCTCCTCCCTGTCTCAGGTTTTCCTGCAAATTCACAGAGCTGGACCAGATGATCCCCATAGTCCCGTTGGGTTTTCTCTCCGAGGCTGTGGTTTGGTGAAATCTCCCAGCCTGGCTGGCTGCTCTCTCTCCCAAGGGCGAGCCCTGAAGCAGGCAGCCTTACCTTGAACACCTGGAAGTTGAGTGGAAATTTTTCTTCTGCCCTTAAATTCTGTGGCATGATGTTGAAAGACACAGCGACATTGTTGCTGTCCATGCTCTCGGGCACAGAGAAGATGTACTGGGTGTTCTGTGGAAGTCCTTCTGCAAGAGAAAGAGCTGGTGCTGGAGCTCAGCTCAGCTCCTGGGGCTCCCTGGAGGGGCCAGGTCAGTTCATAGACCCCGGGGGGCAGGGCCAGTTCATAGACCCTGGGTGTTCATAGACCCTGGGTGGGGGTGGGGGGACCAGGGCCAGTTCATAGACCCTGGGGGGGCAGGGCTAGTTCATAGACTCTGCGAGGAGGGGGGGCAGTTCATAGACCCTGGGGGGCAGGGCCAGTTCATAGACCCTGGGGGGGCAGGGCCAGTTCATAGACTCTGCGGGGGGGAGGGGTCAGTTCATAGACCCTGGGTGGGGGTGGGGGGGCCAGGGCCAGTTCATAGACCCTGGGGGGGCAGGGCCAGTTCATAGACCCTGGGGGTGGTTACAAACTTTGGATTTGGACACACAAGGCCTGGCTCCCAGTCCCTACAGTTACTGGCTGTGGAACAAGCTTCTTTATTTTGTGAGTCTCTCCTTTTAAAAACAGGGAGGAGAAGTATATTCACCACTTGGTGAAAATGTTTCTTAAACTATAGATATGAGGACCAGCAGAGTGAAGAGCCTGGGGGTTGCAAAGAGGAACACCCTGGGGGATGGGGTCACTCAAGCAAACCATTCAGACAGGCAGGTGCCAAGGAGCGGGGTGCACATGCTAGGTGCACACGTGCACACACACACATTCACACCCATGTTCTGCACACAGCCTCCTCCCAAGGACGTGTAAGCATCCTCGGGTTCATCTTCACAGGGAGCTATTCTGGTCACTCTCGTGGCCCGCGGGGAGTGGGAGGGGCAGTGAGAACACGTGATACTCCTGAGGTCACAACCAACATGGTTTCTCTCAGGGGAGCCCAAAGCCAGGTTCCGGGGCCTTCCTGGGATCAGCACGCTGCTGCAGGACACACCAGCCGAGGGGGGGAATGTTCTCCCTGGCGTCTGGTGGCTTTGTGGTCTCTAGGGGCAGATAGAGTTTCCAACTCCACTGTTTGCAGGTGGGGGGGCTGAGGACAGAGAGACCTGCTGCACCCCCAGAGTCTCACAGCCAGTATGTGGCAAGGACAAGGGTTTAACCCAGCCGTGACCTTTGTCCAGTGTCCTTTCCACGCCGTCCCTCGTCCTGGAAATTGCTGAAGAGCAGGGATGTGCTTCTGCCCCTGGGCGGTGGGTGGTGGTTAGCTCAGGACCGTGGGAGAGCAGAAGGGTGGGGGGGCACCTGTGAGACTCTCCTGCCCACCCACCAGTGACCATTCCCCTTGCAGAAGTGTAGCTGTCCCTTCAGGCGACAAATCCCTCTCCTTCCAACTTCGGGTTGATGATCCAGAACCAAGAGCCACTGAGACCTGGAGCCAGGACGGGATTGGGGCCGACAGCTTCCTGTCTGGCGGAATCGTGACCAATGTCATAACTACCTGTGGTGTTTCCTGGAGTCACGTGGCTCTTAAACGTCATCTGGGACCATCTTTCATGGGGCATGTTTTTAAGGCCCATGTTGACTGGAAATTGGTTACAGACATACAGGCAGGAGAAGTTCTCTTGGAAATCTCGACATGACATCCTGTTAAAAATAGGCACATGTCACTTAATGAGTACTATTTTTGTCACCAGGGTCGGTTCCTATCACTTCACTGTGCCTTTGCCTGTCAGCTACAGTATTCACTGATGCACCACTGTCCCACCCCCAGATCTGAACCTCATTCTCCTCCTGGGTCCACCGCGGTCAAGTACACTTCTGCTCCCTCGGTGGTTGGGAGGACAAGACAGAGTCAGAGTCTGGTTCTGCCTGTCACCTGGCCAGGGCTTGCTCACTGACTCCCATCTCCTGACCCACTGGTCCAGCTGTGAGGCTGCTGGCGGCCAGCAGGGGGCCGCCGGGCTCCCTCCGCCTGAGTCCTCCACGCGGTGAGAAAAACCCCTTTCCCCGGGGCCCTTCGCAATTTCACTGTTGAGGTTTTTATCAGAAAAAGATGAATTCAAGACCTAGAATCCCACCTTATGCTGTGAGTGAAGTGGAGATACTGGAAATATTTCTCCTTCACATTTACATTTGTTCCTCTGGTTCTCAATTACGTAGACCCAGCCTCCCTTCCCCTAGGCGGAGTCTCATTTAGAGTGTCACTAAGGAAGCCAGACAGCCCTCAGAGAAAGGTCCCTCTTGTCCTTTAAGATGACAGCATACGGACAGAAATGTGTTTTCAAGTCACCCAGTCCTACGTAGCTGCTGGGCAATGCCACCAGGGTGTCCCTGGGAGCTCCGGGACCCGGCGGGACAGGAGCGCAGGGTCATCTCCAGAACTCATGCCAGGGAAACTCTGGAGCGCCAAGGTCCCAACGAACCCAGAAGAAACAGGCATGAAAACCATGCCTCCCGGTTTCTAGGACACTTGGTTTCAAAGCTCCGGGGGCAATATTCCCTTTTCCCATACGTTCCCTGGAAGTTCCAACATTTCAAAGATGAAATATCTGTTTCACAAAGGGAGGCACCCCAGTAACTTCCCACTCAAAGCTTGTGTGTCTCGGTGGAGAAAAAGGCTCCCTCCACACAGGTCTCTGCAAAGCTAATCTCTACTCCACAAAACTTCAGGGAAAGAGAAACGACCGAGGGTGTGGGCAGCTGACAAAGATTTGAAATATAATTTTAAAAGAAGAGTAAATACCAAAACTCGCCATCATCTTTGTCCTTGTACAGCTGGGCTTTCTGCTGGTGGTGGGTTTCCTCCCACTCCGGAGACCTGGGCGAGGATGGACAGACAGAGCGTGAGTCTCCCAGAGCCCTTCATCTCTCCGGAGACCTGGGCGAGGATGGACAGACAGAGCGTGAGTCTCCCAGAGCCCTTCATCTCTCCGGAGACCTGGGTGAGGATGGACAGACAGAGCGTGAGTCTCCCAGAGCCCTTCATCTCGACCACGTATGGCAGGACAGGGACCCTCTGCACAGTCCCCGGCAGTTCCTGGGTACACGTGGAGGGGCCGTTCTACCTAGTGCAGGATCCAGTCATCCTCTGCATGCTGATGGCTTCCAGGCTGTTCCCCGTCTGGTCCTCTTTCCTGAGCTACAGATGGACTCCTGCTACCGTCCACCCCACGTCTCCATCAGAGCCCCACAGTGACCCCGAAATTAACTCGTCCCAAACTGCACTCATCCTCTGCCTCCTCCTGCTGCCCGAGGAGAACATGAGAGTCGTTCTGTCTCACGCCCCCACCTCCAAACCGTCACCCATGAGGACGACGTATTGAGTCCAGCTGCTAAAGCCCTATGAGGCCACCCACTGATTTCCACCCCTATGGCTGTTTTCCTAGGTTAGGGACCCCCCCTTGGGCTTCTAAGTGGTCCCCCTGAACTCAGCCCTGCCCACTTTCCCATCCAGTCCCCCACACTGATCTCAAAACGGTCTTTCTAAACCAGAAATCTGATTATAGCATTTCTCTGCTTCAAACACATCCGTGGTTCCCTTTTACCCTCAGGATGAAGTTCAAACCCCTGAAACAGCACCTTGGCCTCTACCTACCTCTCCAGCTCGGCCGGCCCGCCCTTGAATGCTATACTCCAGCAATAACGAAGGCCTCCACTTCCCCAGAAATACCTGTGCCCTCCCCCACCCCACCTCTTGACCTTCACCTTGATGCTCCTTCTGCCTGGAATACTCTCCCTCCTTTAGGTCCTGCAGCCCAATAGGTTTTACTCATCTTTCCTCCTAAAAGGGCTTTTGTTGGAAGCTTTGCTTGTCCCTGTCTGGGACACTCATGCCACCTCCAGAGTCCGTGCCCCCCTCAGAGCCCCACAGCACTCCTGTCTCAGCACTGGGTACCCTGTTACCTGTTACTGTCTGTGTCACCTGCCACTGAGTCAGCTCTGACTCTGGCCACTTATCAGTGAATGATGTCTCCAATGGCCCGTCCTCAGCAGACTGCTCAGCTCCTGTATGCTGCTGCCTATGGCTTCTCCCATGGGTCACTTCCGCAGCATTCGGTCCTCCCCTTCCCCTGCCGCCCTCCGCGTTCCCAGCGCTACTGCCTTTCCAGAGCGCCCTGCCTCGCTGTCCCCTCGCCAGTCTCCAGGTTCCACGAGATCACTGGGCCTCGCTCACCAGGGTGATGGTATCCTCGCCGGGGTGTGACATGGCACACAGTAGGCATGCAATCATTGTTTGTTTGCTTAATCGATAATTAAAATTATCCACGTCATTGGGGTCATGTGTTCCCAAAGCTAGTCCTAGGGCTGTGGTGAAGGAGGAGACCCTCACAGGCAGAAGGGAACAGGCGCCCCTCCTCAGCTCACCCCGCAAAGTGGAGGCGTGCCCAGAAGCAACATGCCCCGGAGGCACAGAGGGCAGAGAGCGCATCTTTCTCTGCGAGTGGCTCACACCGAGGGCCGGGGTCACCCCTGTGCTGGGAGAGCAAGGCAGGGGCCACCCCTCAGGTGCCTGGCTGCAGGCTGAGCCAGTCTGACATGCTATTGTAAAATGATAATTTTATAATTAAGCGATAATTACATTTTCGGCAGCGTGTAAGGGAAAATAAGTGTAGTGTAAATCAATATGCTATTGATTCATGCAAGTTTGCCTTTAAATGAGTACGGCTGACATTTCAACTGGGACTGAGATTAGACCATCCGGCTCGCTCCCTCCATCCCCATTCTTTAAAGAGGAGGGAGAAAACCCACCACCTGCATGGAAACAGTGACCTAGCAGCCCCGCCGCTTCCTTCCAGCCTGGTTCTGTGGGACATGGTGAACCTCCACGTTCAGCCCAAACACCTGACCCTACAGAGCAGGTACTGCCAGGTCCATCTCCCCGGGCCCGCTGTGCACACCTCTCTCCTCTGCTCAGAGGCCTTCATAGACCCACCGGGTGTAAATCCAAGCTTCTAGGCCGGCAAAGGCTCAGCCCCAGCTCCCAACACCTCTCTCCCCAGTTCCCCTGCATCAGGCCAGCTTGCTGGCCGTGAACACACTGCAGATGCTCCTGGCTCCGCACAGTGGCCTACCTGTCCCCGCCTACAGTGATCCCTTCGGAAGTGAGTCAGACTCTATTTTGGAAGTTGAACTCAAGTTCAATCTCATTCAAGAAGCTTTCCCTGAACAGGTGCCAGCCCGCCACAGGCGTCTCTTTCCTGATCTCACACGTCCCTTGCTGCCTCCCTGGTCATTTGGTATTTGGCATGGGAGATGTGGCCACGAAACATCAACTCCTGAATCTGAGGCCTGTTCTCCTACCCCAGGGCACTGTGGCATTGACGTTTGTCACCCTTCCGGTCCTAGCTCATTGGCCAACTCAGAATAGGGATCTAGCTGATTGTATCACCCCCAGGCTTTATTTGGCAGCTCGGGTGATGATTGAGGAGACTTGGCAAGGGCCAGAGGTTGTTAAGATTTTCATCAGAAAGGGCAATGGGTAGCCCTGGGAAGGAAGGAAGGACAGAGGCAAGAGAAACAGAGGAGGGGCCGCTGAGCAAAAACATTGTCCAGCGGCTCCTGGTTTTGCAAATTCGTTCCCCTTCTTTGGAGGGGATTCGTCGCCCAGGTCTCCAGGGGACCCCTGAGATCACACCCAGGTTTATGCTGTGAATTCCTGTTGCTCATTTCCTCCTGCTCCCTCTCTCCCATACTTCCTACCCTCTACCCAGTGTCTCTCCATCTCCCTTTCGCTGGCAGCCGCCTGGTGCAGGCTCACACCCGCTGCGGGGCTCACACAGGATCAGCGGTCCCCTCCACAGCCCACAGCCCAGCCTGGGCCACTGCTCCACACGCGGAGTGGCTGGGAGTTGAGGCTGGGACACTGGCCCACTCTGCATTCGCCTCCTAGAACCCCCTTTTCACTGGATGATTTTCACTGCTTGTTGGGTCCTGTTCTCCTGTTTGAATGCTTTGCATTTCCTTTCAAATCCTGTTCTTTCCCTCTTCCATGGCCCCACACCCCGGCCCCTCCCCCCACACCCCACCCTCCCCCCACATTCCGCCCCTCCCCCACACCCCACTCCTTCCCACACCCCACCCTCCCCCATATCTCACTCCTCCCCCCACCCCTCCCCTCCCCTACCCCACACCTCCCCTCCCCCCACACCCCACCCCTTCCCCCACATCCTGCCCCTCCCCACCCCCCGCCCCCACCCCCCAAGGCAGCTGTGGCTGGCCTCTTCTTGTGGATCCACACGGGCCCTCAGAGGAAGGCCACAAGTCTGGGCCCCACTGCTGCCCAGAGGAACAAGCAGCAGTCGTCCCCTGTCCCTCTCAGGACTGCCATCTCATTCTCAGCAGGGGTGGGGATCAGGGACCAGTCTTCCTGGCAGCTGGGAAATGCCAGCCCAGCTTCCAGAAACCTCACCACAGAGCCAGGCCCCTGCTGGTCAGCTGGGCCCGAGAGCAGCTGCCTGGGGTGTGGCCAACAGGGGCATCTGAGACCTGCTTGCTCCATCACTCGCACCCTGAGCAAGGTGCTAGTCCAGGCACCGGTCACACGTGAGTCCAGGTCAGCAGGACAGGACATCAGCCCAGCTGGACTGAGTAAAATGATCACCCAGATCTTTGCCTCAGTTACTTGGCCCCCCCACCCTCCAAATGAAGTCTTTCATCCTGAGGACATGGCATCATCAGGACCAGAATTCCTTATGATCCATTCATGGGATGAGACGCCCTGTCTCCAGCTCTCTCGGCCAGGTGGAGCCCTTCCGGAGGGAGGACAGGCACTGGGCCTTCTTGTCTGTGTAGATCCCACAGCACCCGCCTAACAGTGTGCTCAGTACAGACTGTACGAGCCGGTGCCTAATAGGTGTTTGGTGAATGGCATCATGGGAGTGTGAGATGGACTGACAGACACGCAGTGTGAACTGGAAAAGCCCGCGGTGAGATCCACAGCAGGGGAGACAGATGCCACCCTCTGGGGCAGGGGACTCTCTGAACACGGGTGTCAGTGACAGACAGACAGGTTTTCAGAAACCATACCCGTCACTCCAGCGCCCTTGCCATTCGGTCTTGCCCCAGGGGTTCCACAGGCAGACGAGGTCTTCCTGGCCCCTCCTGTACTGAATCTGGAAGAACAGAGAGGAAGCTGTCAGAGATCTCCAGCAGAAGTCCGCAGAAAGAGGGGCGATGAATGCAGCTGCTTTTCACCTCCAAGGACTCATTTAACTTCTGACCTCATTTGGCTGCAGCCAGAAAAAAAAATATTGAAAGGAAAAATAAAAATCAATGTGCCCTGCCTGCATGGGGTCGGAATGAGACAGAGGAGAAAACGGCCCCTTTCTGCTCAGCGCCTCCTGGGGCAGGTGCAAGGTCCGTTCCATGAGGCTACATCAGGGACTGAGTGGCCGCGACTTAACGGCGGTAAGTAGCCCGGGATGTCGCCTCGGGCTGCGGACAGGGTAACTTTCCAGCTCCCTAGCCTCCTGCAGGGCCTGTCGCAGCTGGTATCTCTACCCAGACCTGCTGCTTCCCTTCCAGTCCCCACTGGGAGCTGTGCCGGGTCTCCACAGCCCTGAGCAAGGAGGACGGGAGCAAGACTGGGACCACGGGGGATCCAGAGGTCTGGGGCTGCCTCATCCCGCGCGCCTCTGGTGACGAGCAGGGCGCCTTGATGGCTGGGACGTCCCTTTCCTCCGGGGGCCTCCTCATCACTTACTCCCAGACCAGGAAGCTGGTCCATTTGCTCCTTCAGACCACTGAGGCCAGAGGGCAGGTCTGTTGAAAAATTACAATGAAATTATGGCAGCCTTTGAACCCTCAGTCCCGGATGCAGGAGCCCTCAGCCTGGCGAGAGAAATTAAAGTATGATCGAGTTGTAGCTGTGCTATTGATCTGTGCTAATGTCTGCGGAGACAGAGGCCTGGAGGGCGAGGGAGGGGCGGACGTGGTTAGTGACTCCAGGTCAGAGGAGGCCGAGCGGAACAGCGTCCCATGGAGAAGAACCTGTGTGCTCCGCACCAGGCTCCAGCTGAGTTCCTGATGTGGGTTACAGCCTTCAGTCCTCCGAGGTAGATTTGTATACAATCTGGTCTGGTAGAGGAGGAAATTGAGCATCAGAGGTTCAGCCACATTCCCAAGGCCACAGAGTAAGTGGCAGAGGCAGAATTCTGACCCTAACCCTGCCAGTCTCCAAAGCCCAGGCTCGTAGTTTTAGAACTGCGGCTGGATGGCGTCCAGCCCTTGCTTCGATGTGGCTGGGAACCTGATCCTGCACAGAACCCGAAGCCACCTGGCCAAGGCCACGTGATCACCCGCAAAGCATTGCCACGGAGGAGCAATGCAGTCAGATGAGGGTCCGAGAACCCAGCTTGGGTCATGATCTTTTCCGCGGCTTTTCCTGATCAGCTTCTCTCTTTGGCTACATCGCAGTGGAAGGTACTCTGGCTTTAAATGCCACACGGGATAAGGGGCTCCTGGCACAGACCCTGTTTCCTGCCCCTCTCTGCCCTACCATGGAGTGCTGCGGGCTTTGCACACAATGTGTTGACCGCCAGCACCGGGTGGAGCCCATACGCAGGACAGGAATAACGGTCGCCCAGTGGCCCGGAGCGCTTAACGAGCCCCCCTCAATGCCTAACAGACAGTCAAGGGCTCAGCTGGGCACAGGGGAGAACAGCAGCCAGTGATTGGAGGGTGCTGGAGGGGCTAAATGAGGCATGCAGATAAACACTCACCGCTTGCCCAGGGGAGTCACGGACCAAGCTAGGTACATAATAAAAAATGCCAGTTTCACTTATCTTCCTGTCCGTGTCCCGCCCAAAGGGAGGATGAGCAGATTAAAAAGCACACCGCATTTATGGGCTGGTTTAATCTCAGCGCTTGCAGAGTGACAGCCTCCTCTCTCTGGAGGAGAAATGTTTAACCAAGTCAAGTTCTTGGCTCCTCATCTGACTGCCCTGTTTTTTGTCAGTGCTGGTGACCACAGGGACCGTGGCCGGGTGGTCAGGGGTCCGTCTGAGATGACAGCTAATCTCTGCCCCGGTGTTTCCTTAAATGTGTTCTCTCAAATGGTAGTTCCACAGGCTGTCAATACTTATTCCTAGAAAAAGTTCTCATGGTTGATTCAAACTAAGGTGTACCTGTCTGGTTAATACAGGCCTTCTCAAAGCCTTTAAAATGTTCATGCCCATTGTGAATATCCAAGTAGTATTCACTCTTCACAGAGGGTCTCCCAGGCTGGTGAGCACAGAGCAGAGGCTGGGAGTGGCAGCACGGACCCTACAGGATACGCGGTTTTGATCACCGGCCTTCACAGGGGAGGTGCCTGTTCGGACCACTGACTGCATTATAAGAACAGCTCACAGCATGTGCTGTGGGGGTGCAAACATTCACATTGTGACAGGAATCATTTGGAGCCCACACCCCAGTTGAGCCCACAGCCTGACTCCTGAGTTCACCTCCGTGCCAGCCTGTGGTGTTCACGAGACGGCTCCTAACCTGACGGTCGCTGCCACCCCCATGCCCAGACTGTGGGGACCATATCCATCCATGGCCACCTGGACCTCTCAGCACACAGGTCCCTCCTCCTCTGTGTTCAGAGGAGAAACAAAGGCTTTTCCATGTGTAACCAGGGCCTGGCCAGCGATGGAGATGCAGGCCCTTCCAGTCCATGCCCAGCACAGATATGGTCCCTCTTTCCCGGAATGCGGACCAGAGCCACGGTCTTGTCGATACAGCAACCCAGGCAGCTCTGCCACCTGATCAAGTCTGACACACAAGGAAACCGATGCCTGTCTCTAGCCTAGACTTGTCCACATTTGGGCCAGGGGAGTTGTGGGGAGCAATGTCTGTACATGGCCAAGCGTGAGGATGGTGCTGGCTGTCCCCACAGAGACTTCAGGGAAGGGAGTCTGGAGACCCTGGGTTCATCAGGACAACGTCTTCCTTGATTGTGGGGAAAGTGTTTTGAGCTCATCACATGTGATCTGTGATGAAGGATCAGTGACATCATCTTCATGGGCCGAGGACAAATGCATTCATTCGTTCACGCGAGTGCACTGGCTCACGGACCCACCACCACTGGCGGTGCCTCGTTTCCCAGGTGCAGTGCAGAGGAAGCAACTTGTTCCTGATCTCTGTCGGGCGACGGAAGATATTGTCCCTGTTCCGTGGATTGGAGCACTCACCAAAACACGAAACAACAGAGCAACGGCCTTAGGTCACAGGACAGGAGAGAGACAAACTGAAGCAGAGAGAGGGACGGCAGGCGGGAGAGAGCGGGCCCGGACCCCACACTGCCTGCCTGGCCCCGAGTGCCTGTGAAAGTGTCCCCTGCAGTTTGGAGTGCTCTCTCTCAGGCCCGGAGGACACGGTTAGACCTCAGATTTGGGGGAATCCGGAGATGGGGGAATATTTGTGGGAAGTCATCACAGCCTGGCTGCATGACACACACAGAGGGGCCTGAGGAGCTGTGGTGTCGCGGCCCGGCCACTTCGGGTAGCTGTGTGACCTTGGGAAAGACAGTCCCCTCTCAGCTCCGCTTCTTCATTTATGAAGGGAGGAAGCTGGCCTTTGGGAGTGTTTTCCAGACCAAGCGATACTGCACGCAATAACTGCGCGTTTCTGTGCACCCAGCTCTGCCGCCGGGAAAAGACTGCCCTCCAGTGGCCCCCCTCCCCCTCCTTGGGAATAACGTTTCAGCACGTGGTGGCCCAGCCTGACAGCAGGTTTTCCAGCCTCCGTGGGGCCGCAGTGTGGCCACATGTTTGGGTTCAGGTGATTGGGATCTGGGAGGACACGGTGTGTGCCTTTTCCGAGGTGTGCCTTGCAAAAGGATGCAGAGGTTTCCCCTGGCCTCTGTCTCTTCCCCGGGCTGGGGGGAGGGCACCGGGAACGGCCAGCTGACCGGGGCTCACAGGTACAAGTCCAGTGTTGTGGATGGTGGAGCCATCTTCTGGCTCTCGAATCACCTGCTTACTTGAAAGAAAAACGAACTTGACCTTGTTTGAGCCCTGTATTTTGGAGGGTCTGTTAGTTACAGCAGTTTGATTGGTATGTTACAAATAAAACCCTTGAGGGCAAGACTTCCCCTAGAGGCGACTGGCTAGTTCATTCTGCTTTCCTTTGGGTACCCTCCCAGTCTGGCTCGACACCCTGCCTGAGATCACCTCCAGGACAGCAGGACCCCTGGGGGCCTGGGGGACGAGAGTCCTGGGCACCCGGACTTCTGGGTGAGTAGAAGGCCCGGGCTGTCTGTGATGGGTGCCGCCACGGGTACGTGTGGTAAGCACTCGGTCCAGCTTTGCTGGGCTTGCCGAAGGCATGCGATTCTGGCTCGTGTTCCGAGGAGCAGAACACGGGCCCGGGGAGCCTTACCTGCCCGGCTCGGGTCACGGTGTAGGCATGCTGACTCACCAGGCCGTTCTCCATTCTCATGGCCTCCCCTGTGGGCTTACAGGAGAACAGCAGACCATGCATTAGACTTTCAGAGGTTTCTCCAAGAAACAAAGCACAGTTCACGGCAGCGGAGCCGAGGCTGGATGAAAGTGTCCCACGGACTCACGTTAGGACGGCACATACTCCTGGACTCTTCCGGGGCAGAGTCAAAGGCTGCTGGGGTTGAGGCCCCAGGCATGTCACACCTCAAGAGACCACCCCACCACTGACAGAGCCCCCGTGGGGTCCTGAGCATGGGGCTGCTTGCTCCTCCAGTCACTCGTGGCCAAGGAGACAGCAGGAAGCCTGTCTGCGGGGTGTACCCCCCTGCTATGAGGAATTGGGGCTTAGAGTGCGTCTTAGTTTTGGGGTGGCATTTTGGGTTAGGGATGTGTGACTCAAAGGCCACATGTTTAAAGAGTGAAGGAAGCATCCTTGTGAGTAGGGGACTGGCCATCTCAGAACAGACTAATAATTTGGAAGGTTGCCCCGACTTTTTAAGATGGGACGAGCTGCCCTTGGAAGGTTGCCTTAGAAACAGTGAGAACCAAAGGGCCCCGTGCCGGCCAAAGAAATGATTAGGCCAAGGCTTTGGAGTCAGACGGCAACATTCAGACGGCAACCTGCAAACCCGCTCAGCCCCCGGCGGAGTGATGAGTGTTTTCCTTGGCCTCTGGGCCCATTTCCCCTTCTGCAAGCGAATGGTGCAGCCCTGGCTCAGAGGGAGGCCGTCCTGAGAACGAAGTGATGTGGGCTCGTCAAGCACAGTGTCAGGGCTCCCGTGGCGCTGACCATTCCCCTCCCTAGTGGAATGAACCAGCGGCCGAGCACTGCTGGGTGAGGAGAGACTCGAACCCATGCACAGGCTTTCTGGTCTACTCACCCCGGCTGGCGTGCCGCAGGTCATCAGGGAGCCTGCCTGAGCTGCTGCCTGTATCATCTGCACCAGGTCGGAAGGGGAGGCGTGCAGGTCGATGCTGGTGACCACCCCTCCCGTGAGGTCCACCAGCGCATCGGGGAGGTGGCCGTAGTGCAGGTGGAAGTAGGATCCATGAAACCTGGGAGGGAAAGTCAGACCGAAACTCCTGTGGGGCCGTCAGTGAGACCCTTGGGAAGGGAAGCTAACACCTGAGCTCTGTTTCCCAGGTGAAGGACTGCCCATCCCCCCCTCGGGCCACGGCATCCGTGTGCCTGGATGGAGATTCTAGCCCTGCCGCCCGCAGCCCATCCTTTCCCTGGCGGCTCGGGCCCGGGCAGCCCAGGCCGGGCAGTACTGTGCAGAGGTCAGCACTGCAGGGGCTGGAGCGCAGCCAGGGCTCAGGTCCAACCTCACCATGTGCTTAGTTGCTTGACCTCGGACAAGTCACTTAACTTCATGGGGCTGGACTTGGTGTAGTGCCTGGCTCGTGGAGAGCCCTTGATAAATACTAGATGTAATTATGATGAGGACCCACTGTTGCCTGTTCAGTTTAACAGCAGTGGTAAGTGCTTACCGTGTGCGGGTATCACGCTAGGCACTGAGCACTCAGAGATGAACGGGACCCCATTCCCGCCCTCGGAGCGCCCACAGTCCACAACCCCGATGCCTGCCTCTGTCCTCACGCTGTCCAAACATGACCCAGGTTTCCCGTTCCCGTTCTCAGAGGTAGCGCCCCAGCGTCATCAGGGAGATAACATAGGTGACGGGTGAAGATGCCAAGCCCTCCGTAGGCCTGTGGCATAGGGACATTCCTACCACAGCCTTCTTTCTGGTAATACAAGTCACACAGGGATCAGGGGCCTGGGCCATCCCTGCGGCTGCCTCTAAGGGGGCTGCAGCCTTGGACAGACCCTTTCCCTCCCTGTCCTCAGCCTTCCACCCGCAACAGCGAGGTCGACTGGATCTGGTCTGGGGCTCGGACACCCCTTTGTCACCCTATTTCCACCCCTGTCATCCTCTCTTCCGAGCGTCACCAGAATTCACACAAACTCGCTTCAGCAAACACACATCAAGCCGCCATCAAGCAGGACACCGTCCCAGGCACAGAGGCCGAGGATGGCTTAGAAAGTCTTTTCGTAAAGACAGCTAAGGATTCATAGGACAGAATGGCCATGCTGCAGGACAACCACGTGACCGAGCTCAACTTGTCAGCAAACTGGTTCTAAATCTTATCTTTCCCTCCCTGTCTGACTCAGGGCTATGCCTAGACTCTTATCTGTGGGTATCTGCTTGACCAACCACAAAGCTCACCTTTGATCTTGACTACGCCTGGTTGGGTCTGACTGTCCTGATTTCCCACAGGTTCGGTGGCTCCAGGTCGCAGGTTAAGAGGGCTCTGCTGAGGGCACTGGAAGTTCACAGAGACCGGGGTTCTGGAACCCACTTCTGAGCCCAGCAGCATGACCTCCTGCCTGCAATAGCCCTTCCCTGGCAATACACTCAGCCCCCCCACCCGCCGCTCAGTTTCAGGAGGCTGCACAGGGGTCAGTCCAGAAAAGCACCTCCAGGCTCTGTCCTGTCACTTCAGCCTGTGTCCTCAGGGTCTGTGGACCTTGTCTGACGTCTTGCACCCACACATTCTGCAGTCACCACGGAGACAGTGGACAGGAGCCCCTGCTCAGTACCTTCCACGGCCTCTGTCTCTCTGCAGTGCCCACAAAGCCTGTCCCAGCAGCTTCGGGTGTTTGGACGAGGAGCTATCGCTCTGCTTCACACACACGAGCTCACAAATTCTGCTGATGCCTCAGACACATGGCAGCTATTCTTAGCCCCCTTTGCTGCCGGGAGATAGAAAAGGAAGGAGAGAGAGCGAGAAGGTCGCTCACCCCGCCTGTCACTGCGCCTGGTCCCCTGAACCCAGAAATTCTGAGAAAGCCTTGTTCTCACCCCTCTGCTTCGGCCTCATTTTGGGGGACATGTCTCTTCCCCGAAAAGATGGGAAAGAGGGGAGAATGCAGATGTCTGAGTCAGAGCCAGAAAGGATGTTGAAATGCGGCAATTCGTAACTGCAGACACTCTGGAAGGGTTGGCAGGCAGCGGCCCGCTCGCCCCCTCCCCTCTCTGTGTTATGACCTCGGGGGGAAAATCTGCAAACACAGATCCCCACTTCAGCTGCCTTGACCAGTGCATTTCCATACTCCCAGCCACAGGGACAGTGGGAAGCTGGAGTCCACCTATTCACTCGTCAGTGCCTCTGCCCCGAGGGGAGGGGCCCTCTGCACCTGGGCAGAGGGGTTCTGCGCTGGTGCTGTGTTCCCTGGTGCCGGACTCTGGGTTCCGAAGAAGCAAGAGACAAATCCTTCTTCTGTAGGACTGACGGTGTGAAGGGGTGAGAGAGGAACATGTGACCCGGGAGGACCAGTCTCCCTCCAGCTTGGCCTCAAACACCCGGTGACCTTGGGCAAGTCATTTCACTCTCTGAGCCTGTGTCCTCTTATCTCAAAGGAGGAGGCAGAGCCAGGTGCTGACGGCAGTGGCTGCAGCTCTCACATGCTGTAATTCTATTTGGTTCACCCTGCGTTCTGTAACTTCCTCCTTCGGATAGAGGGAAAAGCTTCTAAACAGCTTACTAGTTTGAAGCATTTTATCCTCGGCTAGATTTCTTTAGGCAGTGGAATGTGGACTCGGGTCCAGTTTACCGTTTCTTTTCAAGCCCAGTGATTGCCTTAGGTCAGCTGTTAACAAAATGGGGTCAGAGTCATCATTTCATTCCACAAGCTCTCCAATTCCCCAGGTGAACTGCCAGGCCCTCCGCCCCCTTTACATAAGGAAAAAACGAGGCCCGAAGTGTGAGGCTGACTCCACACTGGAAAGATAATGCAACGTGTGTGTAAGTAGCTTAGACATGAATTAACCTCCCCGAGCATATGAATTGGTGCAACAACCTTGACTGTGATCTGGGCTTCGTGCGCAAATCCTCATGAATAGCTCTTCTCGACACTGGAGAGAGCAGCCGTGTTACTGTTCTCACGAGGCAGCTCACAAGGAAGAGTGCGAAAGGAGGGGCCTTGAGGCATCTTGCTGTTGAGCTAGTGACCTCCAGAAGGACAGGGCCAGGACAGTCTGCAGGCTTGTCACCCTCCTCAGGGCCCCGGATGGGGTTGGGCAGGGCCTGTGGTCTTCTGTCACGTGGCCACAGACCTCAGCAGAGCCTCTCACCACATCACCACTCAGAGCCTGGGCTGGACGGGTTGGGTAGGATGGGCTTTAGGAAACTTCATAAGGCAACACTCTCCACCACCTACTTCCTTCTGAAAGACGTGGTCCTCCGTCCTTTCCTCTCCTAGGGTTGATTTCTAGCTCTGATGTGTCCCTCACTTGTGTGGGTCTTTAGAAAGTGACGTCGTATTCACACACGTGCTCTCACACTCACCACATGAGCCAGTCTGAGACCATCCCAGTGCCAAGCACAGCGCCTGGCCACTGTTAAATGCTCAGGGAACATCTGTTGAATGAAAGCAACCCAAAGAGTCCAAGGAAAGCATGGGAACCAGGGTGCTTGTAAATTATGAGCTTGTCAACCAGACGACAGCCCCTGAATCATGGTGTTTGGACGATACAATAACACACAATTTCTCCCCCTACCGGCACTAAATGTGATCTCACAGAAGCCACCGCAGGCCCCCACCATCCTGACCTCACTTCGAACCGTCCCACCCAGACTTCTCTGTTGGAATTGTTGCCTTTGTTGGGGATGCCTCCCCCACATATTTCTCCCTGTGCTGAAGTTCTACCCGTCCTTCAAGGCCTCACCCAATGCAACTTCCTCTGTATAGCCTGAGACAGATTCTGAGTCCAAAAGTTAGAATTATTTTCTCTCTCCTCTTCCCTCTCAGCAGACTATGACCATGATATTATATTTATTTGGGCCCTATACCAGCCCTTGCAATGATATAGTGTGTATCTCTGTCCAGCCCCGCCCTGCCCAGCCCTTGCTATGCGCCTCTGGATCCCTCCCAAGGGCTCCAGCACAGCCTTGCACACAGTGACTGCTCGTGGAGGGTGCCCAGCTGGGCGGCAACGGCTCTGATGCTCCCAGGGGCACCGCTTGCATTGAGCAAAGCTGTCAGAAGTCCCAGGGCCGGCTGGGGGGAAGCATCTCTCAGGGCAAGTAGCTGCACCAGCAGGGCCAGCACCAGGCCCTGGGCTGAGGGGCGGGGGCGGGGGCGGGGTGGGGGCGGAGCGGGGCGGGGCGGGGCGGGCCAACCCTTACTTGGCATAGGCTTTCTCCAGCAGGCAGGGCCAGAACTCTTGGTCGTTGAGAGGATGCACAAAAAGGAACTTATTGTTCAGGATAGGCAGGCGATCGTCAACCACCACCTCCACCCACTGGCCGCACTGCCAGAACTGGAAGAGAGATGATACGAGACCAAGTCAGTCACAGAAAGTGCAGCAGAGAGGAAGCGGACTTGGGGTCCAGCTCGACTCTGCTACTAACTCTGGCCTCACTTTGGCAAGGCCTGTGAGCTCCAACCAGGAGACTCCAGGTACAGCTGGGCACCAAGTGGCAGTAGGGGAAGCAGACGCTGAATGACAAAGGAGATGGTAGATACAGAGGCTATGGCCGACTGGGAGCAGAAGGCCGGGGGGAGGCAGGGTTTGGGAGGTGGAGGAGAGGCGGGGAGGGCATCCAGATGGCAGGGACAGCGTGGGCAAAGGCCCAGAGGCCGAAAGATGAGAAGAGCTCAGGAGGACGGAGTGGCTACAGCCTCCTCCGGCCCCGCCGTCGGAGCGACGGCAATGCAACCAGCTGGCATTGCCCTGCTAAGAGCACACAGGGAGCAGATGTCCTCTCCAAAACAGACCGTTTTGATCCTCAGCATTCAACTCTTAATGGTTCACCCAGGACATCGCCAAATGAGGAAAATTCATAATAAAGCCAGCCTTTGGAGTTTCTTCCCTGGTCTCCCCTGTGCTGAATGAGCAGCAGGCCTGTCGGCTTCAGGCCTGAGCCTTGATGAGGGCGAGTCTCTGACAGGTGGGCTCCGCGTGAGCCCGGGTGGATGCGCTCGATCATCTGCTCGCACTGACAGGAAGCCATCCACGTGGCCTTCTCCACAGCTGGGTGTCCCAGATGTTGGGCTGTTGTATCCAGCTGAGGATGCACTTTCAAAGCAGAGATGGAGACCAACACAAAGGTGTCAGCGGAGACAAAGCAAAGATGTTTTCACGGTCACTAATGAACCCCTGTACTGCAGCCGGTTCCCGCACAGCTGTGGACTCGTGTCCCTATTGCAATAAGATGCACCGGCAGGTGAGGCCGAGAGCCAGCGAGGATGTCATTAGAGGGAGATCATGAGTGTGGCTGAAGCACCAAGGGAAGCTAATCCGAGCTCCTAGAAGGGGGTACTGGAAGGATAGCCTAATCTGGATGTGGATTTCATGGGATAGTAGTGTCGTAGACAGTAACCATTCAGTGGAACGGTGCCTGAGTCCTGGTTTTGCCACTAGTTATCTGAGCAACAGACATGGGGTAAGACACTGAATTCTCTGTGACTCAGTCTCCTCGTCTGTCAAATGGGGGTAAAAGAAAGAACTGCCTCATACTGTTATGACTGGGACCAGATGAGGCTGTGAACGTGAGACTACAGTTTTGAAAGTAGAAACTGGTTTTCAGTAGCCTTTTTGTTCAGCACCTCCTGTGACTGAGGCACTGCAGGTCATCCAGAATGAACGAGTCCTGGCTTGAGTGAGCTCCCCGGTTGGTCCCCCAGTAAAAGTCACCTTTACCCCACCTTCCCACACTGGTAATGTTGACCAGACTTGCTCTCCCTTTATCAGATGTGATCATGTCCCAGAGATGTTGCAAATGGCCTGACTGGTCAGAAATGAGGCTTCAGACCTGAGTTTCTGGAGTCACCTCTCTGGGCGAGGACAGCTGGCATCCAGACAATGTTTGAACCCTCCAAGAAGCATGCTGGTGCCATTCTGTCCACACCAAGTGTCTGAGGGAAACAGGAAGTGTGTGGCAAAGCATCCACGTTGCCCGGGCCCCGGGGCCTTTTCCAAACAGCAGGGCCCAAGCTCAGAGTGTCGAGAAGAGATATACAGAGGTCAGCACTGCAGCTGTTTCTGGGCAACTGGGGGACTTTCGTCAACACCCCAAAATGCAGAGCGTGTCCTGCCTGGGCCTCGAGTTGTCCTAACCCCTTGTCACTCGACCAACACTTGCAGCCCCGAGGCAGCTCGGACACGGCTGAACCCTGTGCCTTCTGGCCTATTTCTCAGTGTGACCCTTGGACCAGCCACATCAGCATTACCTGGGCACTTGTTATGAGACCCAGGATGCAAACAACTGGACTTCACGAAGAGTGAACGGGACGGAGGAGGATCCCAGAAACAATGGGGGTAATTAGCTGGGCAGAAAAAGGAGGCAGGTCTTCAGAATGAAAGGGCTTGCTGAATTCCAGGCAGGATACATTTTTAAAAGGCATCATTTGAACATACTCCAGAAAAATTTTTAGGAGAGAAAGAGCCTTCCTACTAACTTGTAGTTTGAGAGAACCAGTTAGATACAAAGTAAGGACCTAAATTAGCATTGGGTTTTTTCTTCTGTAACATAGGAACCTATACGACAATGGGATAATGTTTATAGACTCTTGAGGAAAGGGAATTTAACCCAAGAATCCTAAACCCAACCCAAATATCATTCTTAAGAAAGAACAAATGAAATACACTCGTGTAATCTGAGGAAGTTATTCAAGAAACTACTCATATCTAATGAAGATGAAATTGGAACAAAAGTCTTCAGATAAGGGAAATGAAGGGTGAAAGAAACAACGGTGAGCGATAACTTTTGAGTGTGCCTTGTAGAAGAAACACCCAACAGTAAACATGAAATTGATCGTGAAGGGATGAGCACAGAGATAAGAAGGAAATGTAAGTAACAGGGAACTGGACTAGCAATATGAATATCAGATGAAGAGGAATTCAAGGCCCAAAGCATTACTTGTGACAAAGGGATGTATCTGTCACCTTGATTTCACCAACCAGAGAGCAAGAACCTTTGGGCACGAATGAATACAGCAGGAAGAATATAAAGTCAGAACATCTGAAAACATAAGAGAAACAGCCAAACTACGACTTTGGGGAACTCCATTCACCTCTTTTAGAATCTGACAAATCACACAGACAAAAAGAAGCCAAGATAAGAGAGATGATTGCTGGTAATAAAACATTTACAAAAAAACTGTGGTGGACTTGACCGTAAATAAAACTTCACAATTTGCCAAAACACAGAGATTTTATGAATTATATTTTTTGGTCATAATTTAATAAATCTAAAACTCTACAACCAAAAGATTACCCTCTACAAAACTTAATCAAAACTAAAAAATATGTTATCTTAAGATTAATAAAAGTAAGATATTTTATATCAAAACCTATAGATACAAATAAGATCTCAGAAAATTTGATAGTCAAAGTTTTTGTTTAAAAAAAGACTGTGAGGCCCTGCCAGTGTAGCTCAGTGGTTGAGCATCGACCCATGCACCAAGAGGTCACCGATTTGATTCCCAGTCAGGGCACATGCCCAGGCTGTGGGCCGAATCCACAGTGGGGGGCGTGCAGGAGGTGGCCAATCACTGTTCTCTCTCATTGATGTTTCTGTCTCTGTCTCCCTCTCCCTTCCTCTCTCTCTAAAATCAATAAAGAAAAAATATTTTTTTAAAAAAGAAAGTAAAACATAGTAGTTAAATCATCTGGATCGACTTCCTATTTAAATGTGATTTCTTTAACTTGCAATATGTTCAGTAACAACTGATCTGCTTGGGTCTCTTATTTATCTTGGAGTTAATTTTTGAAATTCATGTTTTTGCCAGGAAAACCAACTGTTCCTTCTATAGTTCCAAATTTATTGTCAAAAAGTTGTTTTCATGATTTTCTGAAAATTTATTGAATTTCTTCAGATCAGGGGTTAAATCAACTTTATCAATCCCAATGCTATATTTTTACATTTTCTTTATTCAACCAATCTGTTGCATTGGTTTTTGATTGGCCATTGATTTTTAGAGAGAGTGGAAAAGAGGGAAGGGGGGAAGAAGAAAGAGAGAGAGAGACAGAGAAACATCGATGGGAGAGAGACATATCAATTGGTTGTCTCCCACACGATCCCAACCGGGGCCAAGGATCAAACCTGCAACCCAGCTACGTGCTTTTGACCAGAATTGAACCCACGACCCTTAGGTCCCTGGACTCTAACTGCTGACCTAACTCAGCCAGGGCTCATAGTCTTTTTGTTTTTCTTTATTAATTTTAGAGAGAGAGGAAGGGAGCGGGAGACAGAGACAGAAACATCGATGACAGAGAACATTGATTGGCCACCTCCTGCATGCCCCCCACTGGGGATCGGGCCCACAACCTGGGCATGTGCCCTGATTGGGAATCAAACTGGCAACCTCTTGGTGCATGGGTTGACACTCAACTACTAAGCCAGACCAACTGGGCAAAATTATCTTTATTTGCAGATAATATTAGATAACTAAAACATCCAGACTCCACTAAAGAAAAAAATTAGAACAAATAAAGGAATGTGATAAGGTAGCTAGAGAAAATTTAATATATAAGGAGTGGATTTTCTCTTTTCAGCAACATCTAGTTAGAAATGAGGAGGAAAATCTCATTCACGTGAGCCACAAAACTGTAAAATATTTGAGACTACATTTACCAAGAAGGGTATAGCACCAATATGAAAACATAACCATAACATTTTATTGAAGGGCATAAAACTAGTTCTGAATAAATGGAAAGATAGACCATGTTTCTGGAAAGAATCATTAACATAATAAAAGTGCAATTTTTCCAAATTAATACATAAATTTAATGCTGCTCCTTTTCGCCTCACAGTGGCTTTTTTTTTCATTAGACACACTGATTTTAAATTTCTCATTGACAATTAAATGTGCAAGAATTACCAAGATATTTCTGAGTAAAGAATAATGAGTAATAAAGGAGAAATCATCCTACCAGATGTTATAGCTTACTCTAAAGCTACTGTAATCAAAATAACAAGATGCAGCACAGGAATAGACAGAGATAAAAGCTCAGTGGTGATAAAAGACTCTTTTTTTCTTCTGCTGATTGTTTCTGCCATTTAAAAAAAAGTACATGAGGGCTCGCTCCCCTCTCAGGAGCATGCCCGTGTCTTCCCCTCCCCCGCCCTCCCCCACAGGCACGCACCTCCTAAACTCTAAGGGACTCAGGAGACTTGCAACCAGGGGAGCAATGGGCAGCAGCAGCTCGTCCCAGGCAAACCCCTTGAACCTGTCTCCAGCGCCCCATTTGCTCTGATTCCTCCGTGAGCCAAAGCAGCCCTGCCTAGGCTCTCTCCAGCTGCTGCTTCTATCCTAAGCCCTTCCTGGTTCCACTGCCCCAGCTTTAGTAAACGTGCTCTCAAAATCAACTAAACAAACAGATAACTACAAATAATTTGCATGCGAACGTTTTAACTGTCATCTTTCCCACGTGCTGTCAGATCGTGAGCTCAGACCTTTCCTGAGCGCGCAGTGTGACTGACGCACGCGCCCCTTCCCCGCCTCGGGCGGCCAGGCCAGGCCAATCTTCAGGACGGTCGCCTCCCCGTGCTCCGAGAGAACCATGTGGGAGCACCCCAGCGGCACACGTACCCAGAAACAGAAAATCCCTGCATACTGGTGGGAGAAGCTTTGGTTCCTCAGGATCTTCTGCAGGTGCTGTGGGTTCTGGGTCAGGGAGCCCAGCGCCGCCAGGAACCAGCAGTCTGCTGTGTGGGGACACAAGCCAAGTGTGAGAGGCCCCCGGGACACGCCTGAAAGCCCACCCCACGCACCGCGGGTCTTGTTACCAGCGCCCACATACATCCTTCTGAATAATGCGGTGGTTCCCTGCCAGAGAGAGAATTGAGGAAGATTCACTGAGGACAGTTCTAAGCCACATAGAGGAGGAGCTGGTGGTGATGGTGGAGGTGAAGGCGGTTTGAGGGAAGTCAGGAGACCCCAGACAGAGGTGCCCAGAGCTGAGCTACACGTCTTTTGCTGTCAGTATTGGTGACAATGGTGCCCTCTACCATTTCAGAAAACAGATTTGTGCTTTTCTTCGCTGATACTTGTTCAGCCCCTCCCTGTGTCAGGACCCCTCTAGCCCACATGGGTTCTCTCCTCTTCTTCCTCCTGGAAGGACACGTGGCCTTGAGTTTCTCCTGGGATGTCATGATGAGCCCTTCTCCCGAGTCCCCCCTCCTTTATCTTCAACACAACCAATGGTTTGAGTGGCACCTCGGTCAGGCACTGTGGCGGGGCAGGAGCCAGAGACGCCCTTGGAGAGGTCCCGTCTTCAGTTAGGGGGAGCTCTCCTAGGAGGATGATTGGCTTCTGGGGCTCTCCCCAACACTGCAAACAAGCCACAGAGGCTTCTATCGACTTAGCCCAAGACACCGCGATTCCATCCGGTGAAGTCCAAGTGCAGGCATCGCTTGTGAACTGACATTTTAAGGATATAGTCTGTCCTCAGAAGAGTTGCTGTCTCCCAACTCTCTGTCCACTTCCCCCTCCCAGCGAGTCCTTTCCCTCCACTCCCGGGCTTCTGGCTCGGGTTTCTCTCGGCCAGTCCTGGTACCAGCCAGGGGCCTCCTCCCAGGCAAGCCCTCCTGTCCCCTATCCACACTGCTCAGCTCTTAGCAACAACTTTGTCCACGGCTGTCTGGTGGGTGGGAGGGAGTCAAACAACCACAGCCCTGGATTCAAACCCAACTCCGCCACTTGTTGCTTATGTGACTTAAGGAAATTATTTTGCCTCTTGGACCCTTTGTTCCCATACATCGAGTGGGGGTGTTACCAGGCGCCAAGGAGGGAGCACACACAGAGCACGGGCACGGCCGAAGCTCACGAGTGTCACGTCCCGTTCTCGGTCTCTCTCCTCCCGTCTTCCTGACGTTTCTCCACTTGGCGCTCAGACTAAACCCTGTCCGATTCCTCCCTTCCTTCGACAGTGCCCCACTCAGAGGGCTCTGCGCCCCACTGCTGAGTCAACCTGCAGGCTGCAGAAGTGGGCGTGGGCAGTCCAGAGTTCCGAGGGTTTGCGTGGGCATCACCCTCCACCCTCTCTACCCGGAGGCTGACTGCGCAGCCAGCCCTGATCCATGGCCAGGAGAGAGGAGGTTGAGTTCTTACCTGCCTCCCCTTGTTGGATGTCAAATCTGCTCACACCTTCCAGGATGAAGTGAGGCTCTGATTTACCCATCAATATATCCTTCGGAAAGAGGGAGAAGAGCCATGAGCATCTTTCATTCCTCTGTGACCCACAGTGGTACCCAAGACATCACTCACTTTGTCTTTGAAAAGTAGAGGTTAATTCTTAAATAGGTGCTTAAAAGTTCCCCTCATTCTTCAGGTTTTATTGCTATCAGGAAGGCAGATACGAAAGGGGTGTATATGTAACTGACAAGACCGGCAATAAATACATAAGCAAAATGCATGAAGAGAGAACATAAATAATGTCTCAGCCGTGCTGGTCCTAAAAAGCAGTGTTTTATCAAGAGGTTATAAACAAGGGGGAAAAGAATCAGGTACATTTATTAGAGGAAACTTTTACAAACAATAAAGCTTCCCTTGTGAAATGTCCTCTCTTAGAAGTCAGCGCAGGCCTTCTGGGCCCCGGGTTCAAGTGCAGCCCGTGCTGTACCGGATGCAGGGTGTCGCGTTACTCGGATCTTGCCGGCTCCCTGGCCAACTCACACACTGGTTCGGGAAGACCACGGCCCTCAGCTCCGGTGCTGTTACTCAGGGCCCAGGGCTTCCCCACCTCTAGCACCACAGACTCTGTTGGCCATAGAAACGGGTTGCTAGGGAATTCTGCAGCGCTGCAACATCTGGGAGAATTGGGGGAACTTGCAGCAGACATGAGGATGGTGAGTTTCTGAAGGGGCTCCCAGGCCCTTCAGGCCAAAGGTCTGGCTCCTGCTGCAGCCCCACCAGCCTCCAGGCCTGCCCCCTGCGAGGAGCCCGCAGGATTACCCTCAGCACCTCTGCTGTGCCTAGACTTCCACTGCGTACATTTGCAGACTTAGGTAATTGTGCCTTTATCATTTCTTTTTACATCGACAAATAAGTCCCCAGAGAGCAGGGCTGCAAAGTGTAAATAGATTCATTTGCTCAGCAGCCGTGAGTGTGCTGCCAGCCCTTCATAAACCACCAGCTTCCTGGTGGAGCCGCCCAGGGGCAAGCCAAGGTGTGCGTGTCTGCAAATACGGAGGCCCGGCCGGCTCACTGACGCACTGCCCCTCCTCCCACTGCCTTCCCACAAATAGCTGGCCCTCTCAGGAGGCCTGAGGTGCCCTGGGCCCAGGCCTGGGGGTAGAGGCACCGAGTCCAGCGCCCTGCTGTTCCCATGGCTGGGCCGAACTTGGGGGTCTCTCCCAACACAAGCAAGTAGGGCAGAGCTCGCTGCAGTGCCATAAAGGGAGGGACTCTTCCAGCTGCAAAACGACGGGTCACTTCAACGACTTCTACTGCCCCCTCCCCTTCCCCTGGAAAAGGAAGCAAAGGTCCCCATGGAGGCCTCTGTCGGTCAGCAGATGCTCAGACACGCCACCTGTGGGAATTGAAGAAGAGGGTGGAGGCCAGGGGTTACTGGACCAGGAGTGCAGTGGACGTTGCTCAGCGTGCTCGGCCACCCCTCCTACAGCTCCTCACTGGTTTTTCCTGGTTCCCAGCAGCGATCGGCAGAGGAGGGGTATGTGTGCGCTCCAGAGTCGCTTCAGACAGCCCAGGTGTGGAGCCCTGCTCTGCATGGCTCCCTGGGTGACCTCGAGCCACTTCCCTTCCTCTGCTGGGCCTCAGTGTCCTCGTGTGGAAAAGGGGACCCTGAGCCACTTCCTTTCCTCTGCTGGGCCTCAGTGTCCTCGTGTGGAAAAGGGGCCCTGAGCCACTTCCTTTCCTCTGCGGGGCCTCAGTGTCCTCGTGTGGAAAAGGGGACCCTGAGCCACTTCCTTTCCTCTGCTGGGCCTCAGTGTCCTCGTGTGGAAAAGGGGACCCTGAGCCACTTCCTTTCCTCTGCTGAGACTGTGTCCTCGTGTGGAAAAGGGGCCCTGAGCCACTTCCTTTCCTCTGCGGGGCCTCAGTGTCCTCGTGTGGAAAAGGGGACCCTGAGCCACTTTCTTTCCTCTGCTGAGACTGTGTCCTCGTGTGGAAAAGGGGCCCTGAGCCACTTCCTTTCCTCTGCGGGGCCTCAGTGTCCTCGTGTGGAAAAGGGGACCCTGAGCCACTTCCTTTCCTCTGCTGAGACTGTGTCCTCGTGTGGAAAAGGGGCCCTGAGCCACTTCCTTTCCTCTGCGGGGCCTCAGTGTCCTCGTGTGGAAAAGGGGACCCTGAGCCACTTCCTTTCCTCTGCTGAGACTGTGTCCTCGTGTGGAAAAGGGGACCCTGAGCCACTTCCTTTCCTCTGCTGGGACTGTGTCCTCATGTGTAACAGGGGAGACTCCAATGACAAAGCTATCCAGACACTGGCTGCCGTTGTCAAACCCTTTCCGAGGGCTGCACGCCCTTCATGGGCTGCCTCCCGACAGCCTTGCCAAGCAAGGGCTCTTTCGTTCTACAAAGGAGGAAGGAGGTAAAATGCTTAGCATAGCATCGGGCAGGGTATGTGCTCAATAAATATTGATTCACTTTGCAGTATTTGCAAAATTTAAAAAGCCATATTCATAGACAAACCCAGAACCTCAAATCCATTTATTATTAAACAACATAAAATTTAAAAAAAAAAACATGAATTAAGTAGTTGATTCACACATGTTAGAAAGAAAAAGCCAAAAAGAGCCTGGTAAATATAGGAGGAAAGACATGATGAAAGAGCACAATTAGTTAATTATAAAATAGAAAAACAGCAAGGTCAATAAAGCAAGTACATTTTTCTATTTGGGGCAGAAGGCCCAACCTTTGGCAAATGTGGTAGCAAAGCCCCCCAAAAGGTAGTAAAAATGAGGTTTTAGCAATATAAATACATGATGTAAGATTCCACACTAATCAATTTAAAAGTGCTAATGATTTTCTGATGAAAATTAACATTGCCCCAACTCAGTTAGGTTGGTGCATAACCTGAAAGATCAATAACCTTGGCCCAGTATTTTAAAATGATCAAAGAGCATCTCCCTAACATCTCTGTAAAGGCTTCCAAGTACACTTGCTTTTCCTGCTGAATTGTCTCAGACTTGCAAGGGATAGACAACTGCAGCATCACTTACAGTTTCCATGTTGTTTTTTTACAAAAGTGTGTGGGGGGAGAACCCTGTCACACTTTATTCTAAGAAGTCGGCATAGCCTGGAGGTCCAACCCAAGAAACAGAAAACAAAGAAGCACACGCACACTAGACTGTTCACTCATAGAAACACTGAAATAAAACCCCCAGCCAGTGAATCTGCAGTAAATGGTAAGACAAACCTGTGCTTGCGCGAGGTTTTCCATAGAAATTCAGGATGCCAGGGTGGTTTCATATCAGGAAGCCAATACTGTAAAAGTATTTACATGGGCCAGAGAGGAGACACTTTATATCCTTCCATGAAGGCATTTGATAAATGCACCACTACCCAAGTGATGAAAATTAAATAAAACACCCAAATTCTAGCTAATCAGGAACAGAAAGATATTTTAATGTTATGAAAATTAAATGGCAATTATTTCAAATCGAAAGTCAATAGTCAGCATCCATCAACACGGCACAAAATCAGCATTTAAGCCCCCTGCCCTCTGAGCTGCCTGGTCCTCCTCCACACTGGGCTTCCTGGGGGTGCTGGGGGGTCTCAAAGGAGGAAAGAGAGGGGATTATATCCAGAGGCATTGTCATCTGCCAGTCTGACTTCCAGGCCCCGGGAGAAAATGGGGGAAGACGGCTGGGAAGATGGTGATGCTCTGGTTCTGGGTGGGCCGGGATCACCAAGGCAGTGAAGTCACCAACAAGGGGCCAAGAATCCACCCAGAGCATGACTCAGAGTCACCGGGAGCTTTGCAGGCCTGGAGACGGCTGGGCCCCACCTGCTGCAGCTGGGATTCAGCGGTCACCCAGAGGCGGAGCTCAGGATTCCCACAGCTCCTCAGGTGAGTCCAGCAAGGCCGAGCGAGCAGGTTCCGAGAAGCAGAGGTTTGTTCCGGGGCCCCCAGGAAGTAGGCGGGGGTCAGGCGACCTGCCTCCACAGTGCCCAGCTCTTCCCCACGACCACACCGGCAGGCAGGGGCTTCTGGACTTCAGTGTTTGCCGATTCGGTGAGACGGGCTGGCCTTTGGAGGGTGCTGAACTACCCACGTGTGCAGAAGGAAGCTGCGATGCTTGATTTTGCGTCAACTTGACGGAGTCATGGGTGCCCAGAGATTTGGCCTAACATTATTTCTAGGTGAATCTGTGAGTGTGTCCAGATGACGTTAGCGTGCGAATCAGTGGACTCAGTGGGACAACTGCCCTCCCCATTGTGGACGAGCCTCCTCCAATCCACAGAAAGGAGACAGAAGTAGAGGCAGGGAGAGTGTGTCCTTCTTGGATGACTGCTGAGCTGGGGCATGGGTGTCCTCCTACCCTCGGCCTGGGGATTCCACCATCGGCTCCCCAATTCTCAGGCCTTCCCTCTCAGACTAGACCGCGCCACTGGCTCTCCTTGGTCTCCAGCCTGCAGACAGTGTGGGGCTTCTCAGCCTCCTTGACCACGTGAGGCAACTCCTTGTGGTAAATCTATCAATAGGATATAGCCACATATTTCCTATTAGTTATATGCTATAGGATATAGATAGCTATAGAGAGAGAGAAAGAGAGAGACAGACAGAGACAGAGGCAGAGACAGAGACAGAGACAGATAAACCTCCTATTGGTTCTACTTCTCTGGAGAACCCTGACTGATACAGAAGCCATCAGCAGTTGTCAAACTAAATAAACTTAGGACCTTAGTTCTGAATTGGTGGGACTCTTTCTCAATGCAAAGTGTGGGGCCATCTGTTATATTAGTTATGCCAGAAATGCACATAATGCAAGAGCCCCTGGAATCTTAGGAAAAAGGACCCTCTCTGGATGGCACCAAAGCCAGCACTCTACCGCATCATTTCTGCAGGGGTCTCTTCCAATGTGACATCACTTGGCCTATTTTCTATAGTGACTCCTGCATTCTTCCCAAAGGCTGCTGGTGCACATGCCACTCCTGCACGAGGGAGCAGCCCCCTGGCGTTTAGTCACAGGCCCTTGGGTGGGTAGCCAGAGTTCAGGCTGGGCCAGGGAGAGCATCGCTCCTTCTAATTGTGCGACAGAGATCGGCTCTATTGGTATCAATGTTCTTTGGCTCAAGGGCAGCTGGCTGTTGGCACGTGCACTTCCTGTTATCTTCTGTTAGTTGTTGCTTTCGCAACCTACACTCACATCTGTGTTAACCCCTTCCCTTCCAGAACTCATTTTGGTCCCAAGGTGAATCATTTCTGGTGGATGATCCTTTCAGAAACTCTGTCCTGGCTGCTGGGAAGGAGAAGGTCACTGCCCGGGTGGGTGACGCTGCATTCTGGGCGGCCAGGGCCAGAGTCCAGAGAGAGGCTGGGTGCTGAGCTCCGACGCCCCCCAGACAATATGGTTTCGGCCCACAGTCCATTCCTCAGTTGAGAAGTGAGATGTTTTTCACTAAAGAATGGGGACAAGGGTGACATTTTAGTCCCCAAAGCTAACATACATTGGTGACTCTGCTGTTTCCTCCAAGAAGGTATAGTAAATTAAATTCAGGTAAATGGAGTAGAAAGAAAACTTCAGAACCTCAGTCACCAACCCACACTCCATGTGCTCGGCAGCCAGGCGACTGGTGGCCGCTGCAGGGGCAGCGCAGAGGAGCCTCCTCGTCACTGCAGCGAGTGTCCGAGTGTCCGAGGAGTCCGGACGGGGCGGAGCTCCGCGACGGGGGCGGGACTCCTGTGCGCCTCCCAGGCCTGCGCGACAATGGGATGAAATGCCACATGGAAAGTGCTTAGACTAATACCTAGCATGTGCACATACTTGATCCATGGGTTTATTATTATTATCCATGAAATGAAAAGAACACAAGAGACAAAGTAAAAGAAGACTCATGGAAAGCTCTAGAAAGTACTGTACAAAAGTAAGTACTGCCAGTTGCAAGAAGGAACACAAAGATCTATGATGTGGCCACATATACATTTTATTTTATTTTGTTATTAATTTATCTTTGTTACAGATGTTTCTCCTTTTTTCCCCCACTGACACCCTCTTCCCGAACCAGCCCCGCCCCACCCAGCATTGTTGTTTGTGTCCATTGGTTATGTGTACATGCATATAAGTTCTTTAGTTTATCTCTTCCCTTCCCCCATCCCCCTCCTCTGAGGTTTGTCAGTTTGAACCCTAATTCCATGTCTCTGGGTCTATTTTGTTCATCTGCCTATTTTACTAATTATGTTTCACAAATAAGTGAGATCATGTGGTATTTATCTTTCTCTGATTGGCTTATTTTGCTTAGCATAATACTCTCCAGGTCCTTCCATGTCATCTCAAAGGATAAGAGATCTTTCTTTCTTATAGCTGCATAGTACTCCATTCTGTATATGTACCACAGCTTTTTTATCCACTTATCTACTGATGGACACTTGGGCTATTTCCAGATCTTAGCAATTGTAAGTAGTGCTGCTATGAACATAGGGGTACATATATTCTTTCTGATTGGCATTTCAGGCTTCTTAGGGTATATTCCTAGAAGTGGAATCACTGGGTCAAATGGCAGATCAATTTTTAATTTTTTGAGGTAACACCATATTGTTTTCCATAGTGGCTGCACCAGTCTGCATTCCCACCAGCAGTGTACTAGAGTCCCCTTTTCTCCACACCCTCGCCAACACTTGTTGTTTGATGATTTGTTGATGGCGGCCATTCTGGCAGGTGTGAGGTGATACCTCATAGTCATTTTAATTTGTATCTCTCTGATGATTAGTGACGTTGAGCATTTTTCATGCTTGGCCATTTGTATGTCCTGTTTGGAAAGGTGTCTATTTAGATCCTCTGCCAATTTTTTTTTTTTTTTTTTTTTTTTTGGTACGTTCCCCAAAGGGAACCAAATCTGGACTCTCTGGTCTGCAGGCCGACGCTTCAACCGCTGAGCCAAACTAGCCAGGGCGTCTTCCCATTTTTTAATTGAATTCTTTGTCTTCCTTTTGTTGAGCTGTATGAGCACTCTATAGATTTTGGAAACTAACCCTTATCTGAAGTATCATAGGCAATATACATTTTAAAAGTAGTGCTGGAATGAAGAGTGAGGCCCTGGAAGAAGAGAAATGGGAATAGACTGTCTTTGGCCCCTGGCACCTCTATTTCGGGCTCCTGACATGATGCTGCTCAAGTCATCTCACTTTTGTTTGCCTCAGTTTCTCCTTGACCTCAAAAGACACCAGAAGTTGAGATGCTGCTGGAATTAAGATGATAAGAAACTCTCAACCCTTTCTAAATAGATGTTATAAATTCTTTTTTTTTTTTTTTTTATCCTCACCCGAGGACACTTTTCCATTTTTTGTACAGATAGAGTGGGAGGAAGAGAGAGGAAGGGAGAGAGAGAGAGAAACATCAACGTGAAGGGACACATTGAGTGGCTGCCACCCGCATGACCAACCAGGGCCGGGGACAAACTGCAACCAAAGTACGTGCCCTTAGCGGGAACCGAACCCGGGTCTCTCCAGACTGCAGGCCGACGCTCTAACCGCTGAGCCAAACTGACCAGGGCGATGTTATAAATTCTTAAACACTATAAATATGGTCTCATGTCTATTGCCTAGCACCTTATGAAAAAAGAAAAAAAAAAAAAAAAAAAAACGCTTTCAAAAAGAATGTCAGCTTTTGAAAATAACCAAGGGGGAGAAAATATTTAAGCCTTCCAAACTTTTTTCTTTATCCTCACCTGAGGACACTTTTGCATTTATCTTCAGATAGAGCAGGAAGGAGAGATGGGGGAAGAGAGAGAGAAATATCGATGTGAGTGAGACACATTGACTGGCTGCTATCTACACGACCCCAATCCGGGCCAGGGGCAAACTGCAACCGAGGGACGCGCCCCTAGCAGGAACCGAACCCGGGACTGTCTGGTCCATAGGCCGATGCTCTAACCGCTGAGCAAAACTGGCCAGGGAACCCTTCCAAACTTTTAAATGGTGTTCTCTGTTCAGCTATCCTTAGGAGGTGAAGGCCAGAAGGAGAGAATCATTGTTGGGGACCTGTTGCCTCTGGCTGGGACCATGGATCCTAAAAGGCTGAAGCACCCCATATTTCTTTAAGCAGCATCCAAGCTCCACCTGCTCCCCACTAACCTTCTCCTTCCCCAAGGCTACAAATCTGTCCTGAGGCAGGGCAACAGCTGGCACCTCCGGAGTTTGTGTCTTGTTCTGTCACCAGGAAATAGCTCTTCTGGCTTGACTTTGCTGAAAGCACTTAGTATGTGCTCAGTAATTCTTGCTGATATTACAATCGTTAGCTTACTAGACATCATATTGTTTGCTCTTGTTTTGGGTTCCGCTGGCTGCTTTTGGAAGCATGAACAGAAGATTGAGCATCAGGGCACTCACAGGGGTCCTCAGCTGGGTCTTCTTCATCAGCAGTAGCCTTGATGAGATTATGAAAACGTTAAGTGGGCTGAGAAATGTCCTCCGAAGCTTCACGCCCTGTAACTGAGATGGTTCTGGAAAAACCAACAGGGCTCACCTGGTTGCACGGTGGAATTAGTGGCCATCTGCTGGGATGGGGGGTTTGGGGGAGCTGGAATGTTACCCTAAAATATCTTCCTAGTTTTACAGCTGATGTCTGAAATTCTTTTGTAGGTGATGGAGCCTTTGCAAGATTGGAAATACAAATGAAAGTGAGAGAGTCAAGTCAGTTATTTAAATTCATCCTATTGTATATGTGACTGACATGGTAGCTTCCCTTTGAGTAAATTCTAATAGAAAAAAAAGGACTAGAAGATAAAGACAGTGAAACCTGAAGAGAATAAATAGTGATGATAAACAGGCTCAAGTATGGAGACAGATGAGACCCCCGAGACCAACCACTACACTCCTCATACCTATGTCTTCTCATTTTTCAGAGGCATGAATCCAGCGATGTGCTCCGTATTAGAGCTAGGTTAGAACTCAAGGGCCCTGGTTCCGGTGCAGGGTTTTTCCATCCTGCTGAGGATGCGACACTGCAGCTCCGGAACCGCATGAATTCCACCCTGAAAACCAGGCCTCAGGCCCCTCCTCCTTTCAGTGGGAGGGGCCAGGCAGAGGCTCAGAGGGCCCAGGAGCTGGGTGAAGCCTGGGGGCTCACTCACCTTCGGGCGCTTCCACTGCAGGCTGAAGAAGGGTTTTCTCCGGAGCAGCGACAGGCCTATGGAAGAAAGCTCGGCAGGGAATGTCTCATCCTCGAACAGGAGACCTCTGCTTAGGCAACGATCTCGCAAGGAGTTAAAGTCCTGGTCCTTGAACTTGATGACAGGGGTCTTGGAGAGAGATTCCTGAGTGTGTGCCATGACTCTCAGAGGACCTCCAACGTCTTTCCTTCTGGTGAGAAAAAGAAAAGGTATTTTTAGAGATGAGCCATCAAGTCCTTCACATCATCAGATATGAGCCCTGAAGGGGCACTCAGATGTCACCCCACCCCCCATACAAGTGAGGGGACTGAGACCCAGATCCGCGCTCTCCCTGGTGACACAGCCAGATGGTAGGCGAGCCCAGACTTGAACTTAGTGATCCTCTCAGTTCAGTTGCCAATATGCTGTACCCAACAGCTTCTTAGTACGCTCTGGGTGCACCCGAGACACGGGAGTACTTGCACATGACTGAATATTTATTAAGAACTGACCTCGTGCCCAGTGCTTTTCTGAATACTGGCAATTCAAAGAAAATACAACTTGCTCTTTACCCTCAGGTGCTCATTATCAAGTGGGAAAGACGAATTAGACATTTCAACAACAACATTCAACATTCGTCACTCAACAGAAACTGTCTGATTAAGAATGTGTTCATAGTCCTGTGGACATGAAGGAGCTGGGATGACTCTCCCACAGGCTGTGACCTCTGAACTGGGCCTCGAAGGAAGACGAATTTGCCAGGTGGAGAAATGGTAGGTATTAGAAGAAAGAAAAGTCCCTCCAGGTGCCCTGAGTAGCAAGTGCAAGCAGGTTCAAGAGTTGGGTCGGAAAGGTCCGAGTGTTAGAGAAAGTGATGAGGGCTGGAGGGGTCACTGGGGGGGGAGCTGGGGATAGAGGGTGTTGGCAGAGAAGGCCAGAGAAAGTTTCTGGGCCTGAAAATCTACATCTGAAAGTAGAGAGCTGGGAAAGACCAAGAAAGAGGCTGGCCACTCCTGTCTGGTAACTAACAGAGTTTCTTCAGGGAAATTTACATGAGGCATGTCTTGTGCAGCTGCAAGACAAAAATGGGCCCTTGTGCCACTTGGCAGGCGCCGAAGAATTATATAGGGTAAAGGGGGGGCAGTCACAGATACCAGTATGGGGCCGCTACCAGGTACGGGAAATTACATGCTTGACCAGGTCAGGACAACAACCGGTTCCAGGGACCAGCACTTGGCAGGAGGCAGTGGGGGGGTGCTGATTTATATCAGAATGAACACCAATTAAGACTACATAGTCTCTAAGGGAGGTTTGTGGGAAGCAACCTCTGTCCTGGCCCGGATCCAGCCTGTGGGACAGACAGTGGTCATGCCACGGAGGAGCAGTCCCTCCCCTGCAGTTGGAGAGCTGATCTGTGAAATGCTTTCTACCGTGTGAGCACTGCAGGGCCCTTGAAGAGGTGGCTGTGATCAGAACTGTGTACAGAATCCTGCAACAAGTGGGAGAGCGCGTGGGGGATGGGTAGGGACTGAGACAGGGAGGACTGGGAGGCCGCTGCGTGTGTCCATGGGAGAGATTGTTTCTGAGCGTTAATGGTGAAAATGGTGGAGAGACAGGTTCCAGAGTCATTTTATAGGTAGAGCCCATAGGATTCGATGATGAATTGAATATGGGGCAAGGGGTACGGAGGAAAAAGCAAAAACAGTGTGGTGAACATTGAGATGGGTTTTGAAGTTTGCTTCCGGTGCTCACCACCTGTTCTCAACACTGAGTTGGCATTCAAGCCTGTGAACACTTTCTCCACCAGCACAGATTAATAATAACCGACTTCCCAAGCTGCGTTGTGGTAGTAAATGAGGTTTGACCTGACATACCAAGCAGAGTGACAGGCTACAGTAGGCATTCAATAAATGCTGGTGACCTAATTTCCCAAAAGAGATATCAAGGAAGTCCAGGCTTTTTTGTTCAGGAAGCTATAGAGGTATAACTGATGTCATTTACCAAAATATGCATCATTTCCTCTGTCGGGGGCAAGCTGACTTGGATCTGAATCCTGAATCCACACTTACTAGTTGTGGGGCTTGGAAAACCTCCTTGGCCCTTAAAGTTTATGCTTTTTAAGTTTCTTTGACGAGCGTCTGTCTAGGTGGCACAAAAAACCCCAAGGTCCACACGTCCTATCCATTCCCACCTCACAGTGAAAGAGGAATCAGGTGATCATAAAGAACGAGAGGGCAATAAATCAACAACTCATAGGAAAAATATGCAAACTTAAAACAACAGCAATTTTCTTAGAGTTCACTTATAATAATAGTATGTTGCAAATGATTTAAAGCACAAGAAAAATGGCACAGGAAGAGCTAAAAAAAAAAAGGTAAATAGTTGATTTTAAAAAAAAGGCTTAACGTGAGAAGCCGTGTGAGCTAATGAACCCAGACTCAGAACCAGGACGAAGCAGGCGACAGGTGCAGCACAGGCTCTGTGGCTGCTTCTAGCCCCCCTCAGTGTTCATAACACACGTGTGGCCAAGTCCTTCCCTGTGTCTCCTGCTGAGCTGGGTGACTGTCTTAGTCTGCTTGGGCTGCAAAAAAATACCACAGACTGGGAACTTAAACAAAAGACGGGTCTTTGCTGACAGTTCCGGAAGCTGAAAGTCTAAGGTCAGGGTGCCCGCACGGTCAGGCTCGGGTGGGGACTCTCTCCCTGGAGGACAACAGTCTCCTTCTCGCCGTGTCCTGACACGGCAGAGAGAGTGAGGTTTCTCTCTTTCTCTTCTTATAAGGCCACAGTCCTACCGGGAACTGGGGGTAAGAGGCTGAGAAGGGAGGGAGCCAGAGAACGGGGTCCTCTGATTCTGTGTATAGACTGGCGTGAGCCTTAGCCTAACCCATCTGTACAGTGGCCGTGTGGGACAGATCCGAACCAGCAAAGCAAAGGCTTACAGAAACAGACTGAGATTTGATCACCACCCACAGAAGATGCGCTAGAATGCACACGCAACTTAATTGAGTGGATTGACAAAATGTTTTTAATCAATATTCTCCAGAGGATTCTAACAGAACACAAAGTCTAAACAGCGTAACACTCAGTTTGTCCAGGATAATCCCAAACTACCCAGAATAAAAAGAACTAAGCAAAGGCGACCACTCTCAAGAGAAACACAATCAATTGGCAGGTGCCCGCTCTGCAGGTCGCCAGCTGTAGAAATCATCAGATAGTCCATATTCAGTGAAAATAAATTTCAGGAATAACAATAAAATAAGGCCATTCTGGACAAAGTAAAGCTAAGAGAATTCATCATGCAAAGACATGCTTCTGCAGAAATGATAAAGGAAGGTCTTCTGTTTGAAGGGCAATCATAACAGGGAAAATTGAATTTCCAGGAAGGATATATAGTAAATATCTGAGTAAATATATAGGACGATTTTTTCTCTTGAATTCTTTAAAATACCTGTATGTGTTTAAAGCAAACATTATAGCTTTTTTTCTGCAGAGGTTTCAACATATGCAGAAGTAAGTCATATGACAACTACAGCAAAGAAGAGTGGGGAGGAATTGGCAGGGTCTATGATGGTTGCGGGTTTCCTGTATTTTACATGAAGTGGTAAAATAGAGTGTGAAAGGTCAGGTGCGTGCATTATAATCCCTAGACAATCACTAACAAAATCATAAGAACATAGCCAAAATACCAATAGATATGCTAAAATGGAATGCTAAAACATATTCAAATAATCAAAAGAAGTCAATAAAGGGGAAACAGTGAATAAACAAACAACTAAAAAGCAGACATGAATCCAACCACATTGATAATTAAATTCAATGTTAATTTAACTCCAATTAAAAGGCAGAGATTGACAAAGTAGATACAAAAGCAAGACTAAAATAATATGTTGCCTATAAGAGACGCACTTGAAATACAAAGACACAGATAAGTTGAAAATAAACATATGAAAAGAGATATACCATACAAACATAAGAAGCCTGGGATGGATATTAATAGATTGATCAAATAGACTTCTTAGCCCGGCCGGTGTGGCTCAGTGGTTGAGCGTCGACCCATGGACCAAGAGGTCACCAGTTCAATTCCTGGTCAGGGCACGTGCCCAGGTTGTGGGCCCGATCCCCAGTGGGGCACATGCAGGAGGCAGCCAGTTGATGTTCTCTCTCATCAATGTTTCTATCTCTCTTTCCCTCTCCCTTCCTCTCTCTCTAAAATCAATAAAGAAAAAATATTGAAAAAAAGAAAAGAATATACATTCTCTTCAATGTATGAGATACATTCCCCCAAACTGACTTTGCTGGGCCATAAAACAATATGTTTCCAAGTACTGAATCACACAGAGTATGTTCTACCTAAAACAGAGTTAAGGTTAGAAATCAATAACAATAAGGTATTTAAGAAAATCTCAAATATCTGGAATTAAACACTTACAAGTAATTTATGGGTCAAAGATGATATCATAAGGGAAATTAAAAAAATAAGTAGAGGAAGTAAATAAAAAAGACAAGAGAAGAATTATTAATAAAAGAGAATACAGAAAATTAACAAAGCGAAAAATGATTGTTTTGAAAAGACCAAAAAAACTGAAAAACCCAGAGTCAAACTAGTCAAGAACAAAAGAGTGAGAATGCAGATCACCAATATCATCGATAAAGGGCTTATCACCCGACCTCCCATAGACATCAAAGGGCTAGGAAGACACTACTATGGACAAACTAATGCAAAAAAAAAAAAAAAATCAATGTTCTATGAAACGGATACATTTCTTGAAAAATACAACTTACCAAAGTTGATACCAAAAGAAATAGAAAATCTGAATTACTCTACATGTAATAAAGAAATGGACTTTGTCATGAAAAACTTTCCCAGAAAGAAACCCCCAGACCCAGAGAGTTTCACTGGTGATTCTATTACACCGTCAAGGACAAACAAAACACTGACTTTACACCAGCTTCTTCAGATGGTGCAGCAGGAGGGAAACACGCTGAACTTCTTCTATTGGGTCATTGTCACTCTAGCAGTAGCCCTCTTAGAGAAATCTGTAGCTCCCAGAAATTACGATCAACAGCCCCCATGAGCACTGACGGCAAAAATCCTTAACAAAATTTTAGCAAGTTAAAACCAACAATGTAAAAAAGAAAAACACAAGGAAAAAAATATATCAAGACTAAGTTGAATT